TATCCCTGCATACACTTTTCCGCAACAGTCAAGACACTCACGCGGTTGACCGCGTCCGAACAGCCCGCGGCCCCTCTTAAGGAACCAGTGGCTTGAACTACGGAATGGTCCCATGCTTTTCCCCGCCAGCGCGTCATCAGGATTTAGAGAAGAAATACATAACATAGTATAACACTATGTATGCGTTGCCCGAGATGATGAGATGATGACCTTTTTTCTTCCCTCGGATTTTCCTTTCGGGAAGAGATCTTGATGAGAAAGTAGGACTGTGTGGGTGTCAGTACCTGCATTGGTGAGCCAGTAGCACGGCGGGACTGCACAACCATTCGTCGTGTTCCTGCAGTAGCATGGAGTCGGCTTCGTGTGCCGTTACTTATTTCCGCACTGTGTAGCACATTCTTCTCCTATCCGTCCATCGCCCGCGATTCCTAAGTCTTGGCTTCTTGTTGGAGGGGTCGTATAGGTATGCGCGAAGAAGATCGCTTTCACAGTACTGTATGTAGCAACTCCTACCACTCACGCCTGTCATGCTCAAAAAGCTCTACATACAAGCCAACTATGTATGAGTTTATGTATGTGTTAAAATACAGGCTAAGACGACCATCTCGATGAAACTAGCCGTGGTATCTTTATGCGTATCGGCGATACCAGCGGCTTATCTATTCTGTAACGTTTCTTTTGCAGGTCGGCCGTGTTCGCGGTAATAATCCGCTAACAGCGTATTCTTACCTTACCGCCAAAGTGGTCAAGTCGCAGGATAAAGATCCCTTACGAATCCCTCGCGTCCCGGTAAGGAAGAACTTTGGACCTGCCAAGCATCAGCGAGGTTAGGGTTTAAGCGACTTGAGACACTTACAGCCGAGAAAGCGCGGTAGATCTCGGCTCTTAACCTTCATGGGGGTCAGCTGTATGGTACGGCTGTAAAGAGTAAGCCTCATCATCGATACTCTTTACATACAAAATCGACCGTACCATTAGACATCTCTTATTAACATACCGGGTCAAACGAAACAACTCGGATCGTAAGAATAACCTAATCCTTACCTTACGGCTCAGCACAGTGCCCGGCGGATCGAGATACATGCATACTAGTCTCTAGATGGCTTCTCACATAAGCCCCAAGACGACGACCCCTTGCAAGTTAGCGTAGCGTACTTGGCACTAGCGCTACTACCCCTGAATCGTGAACCAACAGAGGGCGTCACGCGTCCCCGTCGGTATTGTACCTTGCAGAAAAGATACATTCCCGTCTGCGTATGTATCTTCTAATGCCCTACCCTCCACAAACGCGCCTGGATTTTTCATCTATGTTACGGGAAACAGGTTATTAGTCTCAGCCTCGAATGTGACAGACGGGAACGAGCAGTTCTTACAAGTGTAAAGGGAAGATCAACGAAGACCTTTAGCCAACCCTGGATCTTGATCTGACATATGTCATCAAGTTACTATATTTTCGTTTTTACATAACATGTGTGGATTCGGAAAAGCACCGCGACGCGTCCAACTTGTTACCAGACGCATTCCACGACCCTTGCTGATCATCGAGCCACAGCTCGCATAAAGGAGAATGCAGCCAGCAAGCTGACTTCTACTTTCGTCCAGTCGATCATGCACCGTGCACGCGGGCGTCTATCAGGCTGACCCTCTCCCGATTGGTTAGCTTGACGGCCTGACCTGAACTAGTTTCTTAAGTTCTTAAGGCTTCGGCCGGTATCGTTTTATGTTTCCTTAGCACACGTACGGAGTACAATCTTCGATCTTTCGGCGGTAGACGGAGTTAAGTTATGCGTACGTTGGTAGAAAGGCACACGAGGAGTTCTATCTACGCTTGCTGATCCGAGCGTAGTAGCTATTTCTTAACATCGTATTTTAAGCCAAGGCTTCGAACACAAATAGGCGCATCTAGAGATCGTATTACAGATCGTATTAGAGATCGGCCAGCACCATAGTATGAGTATACCAGGCTATATCCGTGTTTAGCGTATCTCACCCGCCCGCTTTCTTTATCCTCCAGGGTCTAAACGGTAATAGAACGATATCTGAAATCGAAGAGGGACAGCAATAAATCCAAGCCACTGAGCAGTCGACAAAGTGCCCGATTTGCATTAGGTACTAGTTATTGTGAATACCATATGTTAGGTAACTACCATAGGGGAGGTCCGGGGGTATAGGGAATCATTCCGTATAAATGAAACCATTCTACCTGATAGTAACATGGGAATCAGCTTGGTGCATTCCAACATCGTGGAATGATTCTATTACTAGAATGATTCCGTAAAATAGAACGATTTGCCTTTTCACGTGACTTTCACGTGATATTCACGTGAAAAAGTGGGGTCAAAAAGGAAAAAAGTCAAAAAATTAGAAGGACTGGTCCTCGAACCCACCACTCTCGCGTTCGTGTAACCATAAACCCCACCTTTTATTATTAAGGTTAAAGTTTAAAGTGTAAACGTTTGAGCTAATGGGACGAGGTGGCCAATCTCATCGAATTATTTCATTGTGGAGATTTTCCTGTTTTTAGGCCTTATAACCTTTACATCAGAAAAAGTAAAATTTTGACTTAGAAAAAAAAACTTTCGAAAAATTTTTATTTTTTATTTTTATTTTTTTTCATTTGGTTTTTTTTAAAAAAAAATTTTTTAATATTTTATTTTTAATACTTTTTTTATTTTTATTTTTATTTTTTATTAATTTCTATTATTTTTTATTTTATTTTATTTTTTTATTATTAAAATTTTATATTATTAGTAAAATAGTTCCAAAAATTGGAACGATTTTACAGGATGGAATGGTTTTACGGTTATGGAACGCTTTCTTTAAAATAAGATATTAAAAGTGGGTAACTTGACCCACTAGACCCGGATTCTGACCAATCAGAGCCCTTAAAACCCAAAAACGTTCCGCCGCACGGAATCATTCCAGTTTTAGAATCATTCTCCCAAACCCCCCTCCTCCGCTATGGTACCTACATAAGGTAAGATATTTAATAAAAGCTACACTTCAACAGTATACCTGGGCGAGTAGCATCTCGGGCATAAATGCATGTCCTTAAGACTCGCAACTTCATGCATCAACCCGTAGCACTACCCGGTCCCCAGATTATGCATGAAGTTGATATAACTCGGTTTAGCCTTGCCAGCCAATGGTTTCACAGCACAGTTTATATCACATTCTCCTGGTAAGCGCATGAAAGATCACTCTGATCGTTAGCGAATACAGGGGTCCTTTCTTGCCATGTATTTTTGCACAGACCTGCGTATATGTTATATTATCGTACTGTAGCTGCAGCTTACTGAAAGAGAAATCCGGTAAATATGCTCCAAGAACGCCTTCGTACAGCCCTTTACGCAAGATCAAATTAATAGGCGAATTGATATCTGACCACTCTTATCCAGCTCTCATTTCCTCCATACGGGTTGCAGCATGGGATGATATGATATGTCTTTATCGTATGCAGAGTCGTACTGTTGTAGATTTATCGGCCCATTTGCATTAAATATCTACATATGTATCGTACGAAATCCGCACATCTAGCACCAAGGGTTCTAGAAAATAGTTCGGAGGATTTAGAAAAGCAAAATTGTTTGCTATCCCGGCTCGTGGCCTCAGCTTCTCGCCTCGCGGACATGGTAGACCTGCGGCGTCACATAAACGTCCCCGCTTAGACTGCTCTATTAAGAGGATCAGTATTATGGACTACTCTCGAAATGGCAAACAGGCAAGGCCCTCGGTCATGCGCTCTATCGCACCTTGCCTATTCCAGGGTTAAATGGCGTCTCGAACGGTGCTTCCCGATCGTTTTTGCTTGCCATGTACAAGGCCTCTTCGTGGACTGTGCCCTTTGAACTGTACTGAAACCATGATGTTGCAACACATGCCCACTCGGAAACAAACTGAAGCTTCTGCATACGAAGTAGTTAGAGTCTTACGCCTAATAATGACATCATAGTCTCTGCCGGTCTTTTAGATAGGTTAATTACCATCGTATCTAATATCCGCTAATACTTTAGACTCTACGCGGGATATCGCAGTCAGAAGACGGTCCATATCTACTTAGAGCCGGCCAATCAAACCCCTTCTCGTTCACTATAATTACAAGTTCTATAAGACGCCAGCCTTATGAGGCATAAATACGATTTGTTAACGGCATACGGTTCATGCCGGCGACACCGTAAGTAGTTCATGAGAGGTAATCGCTCCGATCTAAGCCCTAGCAAGAACGTGCTCGGGCGGCCTGGGGTTAAGTTCCATGGGCATGAAACGATCAGTGGGTAATAGACCATCCCGCGGTTGATGCGCGTCTTCTATTCTTGGCGGATCCTATTCACAATGAGGCTCCCACGTCAGCACGCAAATATAGCTAAATCCCAGTGACATAACGGAAAAGTTTAACTACCAAGGTAGTTATAAATAAGTAGTAACTAACGGATACTTGACATTTAATCGTTCAACAACGAGGTAGAAACTTCAGTTTCAGTTTCGTGATAGTTACCCATAGTGTTGTATAGAGATCTTATATTGCTAGTTATAAGTTCAAAGTCTTTCCAGTATATAAGGATGGATTCGAGACATCATTTTATAGAGTATTGAAACAGCCCTAATATTGTTAGTAACCCCCATGGTATCATGATTTCTATATCGGCTTAAACCTGATGAACTCAGGATCAGCGGCTGAATTTTAGAACTCTTCGGGCTATGAAACAACGTAAATATTGACTCGTGAGGATTTAATTTACACGAGTTCTATCACACGGTATATGCCGGGTACGTAACTGACAGGACTATCCGGCCAGTGACTCTTCGGTATTCGGACTCCGATTGATGTTGAATATAGTATAGGTTCGTAAGAGTATTATAATGCGTGATAAAGCTAGAATGCCTTTATGACGGTTCTAGCCCTCTAGTAGAGATGAGCTATATAGCTATAAGTAGCTGTAATAGCCCACATCCCCAGCAGATGTCCTGTGTAAATACAAAACAGCAAGGCTGGTTGGTATTCATAGCTCTTTCATGACCTCGGCCACCGCCTTTGCGGCTATCCGCTTACGTTGGTCTTCCGGTAGCCCAGCACTCGTATCGCGCACGGCTTGCAGCTTACCCATCATGCGCTCTATCTTCCTGATCTCTTCATCATTCATATCTTCCCCGTCATCCTTCTTGCTGGTGTCCGTGCTCAGTTCTCCGTTTAGGAAATCCTCATCTTTCTCGGAATTCCATATCGCTTGTTTGAGATCGGCAAAGTCCTCGCGGTCGAAACCAAAATCGAGGTTTTCTGGATCGAGATCAGGCCCATCCTCGTCTTTACCATTATCGCCATTTTCGATGTCAAATTGCGCCTCAAAGTCCTCAAGGTCCTGGGGATCAAACCCAGGGTAGTCATAGGACGTTTGAGACCAGTCGATTGACTCTAGAGCTTCTAGGGCACGAGGGATGCCAGTCTTTTCTGCATGTCTAATTAGTCTCTTGCCTTCGATTCCCGATCCTGCCGGATATAGGTGCAGCAGAGGCAAAACGTACCACCGAATTCGTTTCGTGTTGCTACGGACTGATTCTTGACCTGCACGAACTCCAAGCACCATTCGGAGCAGTAATCTTCCCACTCATCGACATCGTCTATTTCTCCAACTCCCAGACACAAACCGACCCCGTCCCAGGTCCAGCCGCCAAGCCCCTCCTTGACAACCTTGCCTACATTCTGGATAAGTTCCCGTGCGGCTTTGATCTCATCTGTCTGCGACTTGACCGGTAACGGGAAGACTACGACAACTCCGCCTAGAACCCCAAGGACCATCTTGGCCTGGGGAGATAGGAAAGAACCGGCCCATTCTGAGGGTGATGATATGAGGTCTAACCATATGGGCACTTCAGCAGTATAATATTTTGATTTTAAAGAGAGGCTGTGTGATGAACCGGCTAGTGACGTTGATGTCTGCTCTGGATGAGTACCGGTGAGGTCTAATGGAAGGTTAGTTTAATGATAGAAGTAATTCATGTATATAGAATGACAGGCTGGGGTAGTAACCAAAGTATGTTGGAGATATGTTTTATCAATTTACCTTTAATTACCTTGGTTAAGTGGTGAGTCGAATCTGCCAAGGAGACGGCTAATATGCGACGGGGATTTGAGATATCCATATTAGAAATGGCACGATATATGGTATTATGGCTGATGCTTGTTCGGTTGATGATTTAAGAGGTACTTGAAGGTGGATGAATTATTAGAGCCCGGCTCCCGTCTTTGCCCCGCCATCCCACTAATGCACATTGCCGCGATAAACCCACAATGTTATCATCATGACTAAGCCACTTACCCGGTAGTTGTATATTGTATACATGTACCTTATTCACATGTATATTAGTGTAAGACAGGAAAGAACCGTCGACATTCATGTGTCACCTCCAAGTACATGTAACTCACGACGTCAGTGGCTTAGGTATTTATTCAACTTCAAGATCTACCTTAGGTTTCGTATCCTCCAAGTTTCATCAACCAATTCAACCATCATGTCACATCCCGAACCATCACAACCGGTTCAATCCATCAAGGCTTCGGACATACAAGCATCGGGAGCGCAAACACAAGGAATGATTCGCTCCAATGCGATAGTTGACAAATGCGACGGTATCTGCGCTACTAGTATGCTTGCAAAACCACATACCGCCTCGGCAGTCCATCATCACGGAGAACAAGACACGATAGTCTATGCTGTTAAGGGACGCGGAACGGTCGTTAGCGAAGGGGGAGCAAAGAGGGTAGATTTGGAACCTGGTGACTTTGCCCTCATTCCTGCGTATATGGAACACCAAGAGGTCAACGACAGCGACGAGGATATCATCTGGACCATCGTGCGCAGCGGGAGGATTCCAGATGTAGTGAATCTTACCGGTTGGAATGGAGAACCCATCAAGGGTTAAATACCTAATTAAGCAAGAACCAAATGCTTGTCCATTTATTGTGTATATATATACGACCGAGATAAACACACCACATCCCCCTAACATCCTCTATTCGCTCAACCCCTTAACTCCATATATAGTTTCCTCCAAACGTCTGTCTAATGTATATTAGCCTCTTCCGCCGTTGTAATCAGCACCTCCAGCTCTCCGTAGCCTAGTCACGATATCCTTCTCGTCAAGGTCACCTCGATCACGGGCGTCGACTGTTATAGAGTGATGCGACAACACCTTCTTCACGTTTGAACTCTCTATGGATACGCGGGCTTTACGCATCACCTTGACGCTTTCTCCGATCCATACGATGAGTATGAACTTGACACGCTTGCTCTCCGAATCGTTGTTGTATTCGACTCGCACGTACGCGTAATTGACTTGGGAGTCGTCTAGCTTCGATACCACCTCCGATAGTCCCCCGCTGCCGGTTCCCGAGAGTACCAACTTGTCGCCTACGGCACTCGCATACGAGAGTAGCAGCCAGTTCGTCGCGTCCTTGTCCGAGCGTACTGCGTCGTATGCTGCTAGGACGTCGGGGGAGTCGATACCGGACATCTTGCGGGTGGGGTTCTTCGGGAGGGAGGATGAAATTCGAGAAAAAGGTGGTTAATTCGTTACTATAACATATGGGAGTGATGAAACCGGTCGAATGGTTTTTGTTATCGAAATTTGAGTAACTATTTTGCTTGTGATGAGTTTTGGTTTAGTAGACTGAAGGAAAGATGGGTGACCCCCTTGGGCGCTGGCTTCAAATGGTATAGTTAAATGGCATAAACGTTTAGTGCTGTCGACGGTCCGTCAGACTTATTGTCAGCTGTATATGCGACCCAGTTCTTACCCCTATTTCCACTTTCAGTTTATGCGCGTATCACAATATTGTTTTCGAAACGGTAAAGGCTTTAGAAGATATGGTAAGTCATGAAACTATATTGATGCTCTGGTCTTTAATACTATCGTGCGTACTCACGGGACAAAGGGACATTACAGATATTAACCCAGTGGAAGTTTATTCGCGCCAGATCATATTCAATGAGCCGTTGAGCTTATTCCAACGTATTTGGCCCATTCTTGGTACCAGTCTAGGGGACTAGAATTCCTATTGGTATGGGAACTCCAGTACCAGCCAGAATCATTTGGAAACTGGCATGAATATTCCCAATAAGACAATTCGAAGCTTGTTTCGAATCGTTCGGTGCGCACGACATCTGAACGTAGAGCAATTCGTAACCCTTGTTCTACGGATGGGTTTAGAAGTTTCCAACGGGTGGCCTCAAGGTCTTGGCATGCCATCAGCTTGAGCTGTTCCCCAAACGCATCTTGTCTGTGAAATAAACAGGCCGCAAGTTTAACCCAGGGGATTCCGAGCTCGATTTTTTCAGGGTCAAATTTGATGTCGTCTATATATGGTAATTGTAAATAGATGCCAGAGAGATGGAGACAAGGCCTGGCATATCCGTCCTCTGTAGTTCGAAGCTGGTAACGCTCCATAGTACCTCGCCAAAGAAGCTTACGTATAGGACTTATTGGCCAAAACCGAAGAGGTCCGAAGCGCACTTCTATGTCGTTTGTTAATACGTCGTCGTCATCGTCAAACCTAGCAATACCGCCATCAGGGGGGTAAGAGTAGATAGCTTGAGTATTATCCTCGGAAAATGAGGTAAACTGTAAAGTAGTTCTGATAGAATTATCTTCATGGACGGTTTGCTGACTTCCGGATTCACGAATTGCGGCAACTTCATCCAGAAAAATCGCAACGTGAAGCAAGGGGATGAATTTACTCCTGAAAGCAAGATCCGTGGCCTCCTTGAGCCTTCGACATACTAGACGGCATGTGAAGAAGGCTTTCCGAAAGTGCTGGGGCGCCATGCTGATAATGATCATAGACTGGAGCTCAAGAGGCAGGGTATGAAGCTGGGGAGTTTCACCCTTCTTCCTAGGATTGATGCTAAGCTCCATAGCGAACTTGTCAAGAGGGTAATAGCTGTATCGGTTTGGCTAAGTGGTCTTTTGATTGTTTGATGGATGCTAAGATGGGGTTTATATCCGGAGAGGTAAGATGGTTAAAAGGAGTGGAAGAACTGCTCTGATGGTAATCGGGGGACATTGGAAAATTCCATTTGTTATATATTCAAATTGGCGCTCTTGTCATTACGAGTATGTTAGTCACTTCGTTCTTGACTCTTTGTGTTTAGAATATGGGATCAAGTAGCATACATTAGGTACCTCAACATTCACGTAGTTTCGGTCCTGACTACCTATGCTACCTTGCACAAGTACACTACCTCTCTAGACTTGAGTGGATGGATGGAACGGATGAGGCATATATGAGTAAGTTTTATCCTGACATAAATCTAGTTCACTGATGTGTTTCTTGTCAGGTGATGATCTGGTTCTGCTCTGGTACTACATGCCAGCTGGGTGTAAACGAATTCATCGTCGTCACCATCATTAAGACCTTAGGGTAAATTTACTTAAGGTACGTCCCTATCTGATCTCCAATGAATTCAACCATAAATAGTAAGATAATGGAGGTATCTCTTAATTTAGTACACACGATAGTGTTAGATATTAGGTAACGCCTATCATTAACCCCCTGACACGTTGGAATACGCGGGAAAGATGACTCTACTTGTGTCAGAGAGATGACTGGCGGCTGGTTGCGAAATATTAGCCAAGAATGGTCGAAGGAAGATACACGTAAAGCCTTTTATAACCCACATATATACGACAACTGGGTATCTCATTACATTAGCTCAACATCATCGACATGTCTAAGCTCTATATACTGCTATCTAGGCTTAAAGGCGAGGTGTAGGATTAGAGGTCCTATGATTGCGTACCGCTTCCGACTACAAAAGTGCATTTCGCTAGGAAGGAATGCTATATTTCCAGACTATTAAGACTGGCCCGACCATGATCTTGGGAGATCCCTGGACAAGACCGCTTTGATCACGGTGAACTAATCACCCCGACCATACCGACGGTTCCGGTCCCGTGAAAGTAGAAATATTGAACTGTAAATCGAAATAATTAAAGTAAACGTCTATAGTTATCATTAGAACATCGTGCACGGTTTCTCGTCGTGGTGATCTATCACTTACCCGGCTGACCGCGCGTATAGACACCTGGGATATCGACCAAAGGCCCCGGAGTGCCGACTTCGGTATCTGGATTGACGATCTCGACGTGGGCGCAGTTCACGTAGAACTGAGTGTCAATTATGTTCGGGAAGTAGTGTTCGAATCGAAGGAGATACTTCCCAGGAGGTGTGGTCTTGGGGATCGTGAAGTTGTACTGAGGTCCAGACAGGTTAGCTAGGATTGCGCTCGAAGGGTTAGAAGGACGTACGCTGTCTAGTCTGAAAGTCCCCCATACTGACTTATATTGGTCGTAATATCTTGAGTTCTCTGGGAGTGAGTAGTCTAGCGATTGCTCTGTTCGTCCGGTCACGCTCAAGATCTTGAACCAATCGCCATCGCCGGCGTACTTCTGCAGGTCGTCTATCGGCGACTTGGACAACCATGCTGAACCAATCCCAGGGTGATACATAGTTGCTTTGGTATCGCCCTAAATATTTTGTTAGAATAGAAGTCAAGGGTACTGAGAAGGTGCCCGTACCAGTACCATGGGCTCCCCTGCCCCAAAGCCAATTACATCGCCGGCTTGGACTGTGGCCGTTTTGACCTGAGAGAATGGTAGGGATGCGTTACGGCCACATCTCAGATCAAGGGAGTCAGGATCCGTGTTTGGGGAGACTAAAGCGAGATCCGGGTCTGTGTCGGGAACAGGGCTTATCTCTCTGGAATTGCTTCGTGTTAGCTGTTTGTATGCCGTGTTTGGATTTGGTCGGGGATGTACCGAACATATTCCCACGTATCAGTCCACTTATTATCTAGGATGAGACGCCCGAATAAGTCTAGATAGTTGGATGTTAGAATGGTATTGGTGAATTCACGAGGTTTGAGGTTGGTACGTACAATGGGCGTTCGATAGACCCAAGAGGCCGGAACCGAGCAGAGCAATAGAAGACTTCATTGCAGATCAATGTAAAAAATATATTGATCGACAAGCTAATAACCTTAGATCCCTCGTCTATCTAATATCCTAATATCTTCGATCTTTGGCCCGATTTTATAGTCATTTCCTCCTCTCCCCTCTCATGGTAGTATCACCACCACTGCCCCTGGTCTAGATATGCCGTTAGACGGGATGATCATATACCCATTCGGGACGTAGCATTCCGCTGTTGAGAATGGAAGCTCCAAGACCGTTTGTCAAGGTATAAGTGGTACTACATGCATGAACTACCAGGTATAGATCTATACGATAGATATATAAGGGACGATTATGTTCAAATCTTTTATTTACGTAAGAAATTGATAAGGTCTTAGATGATAAGGTAGTTGATGAAGTTACAATTTCGGAAAGATATCGCGTGCACGAAGGTGTTTGGGTAACATTTTAGATTTATACTACTATACATACGTGACATCTGCCGAGGGGTATCTCTAACACCATCCGATATACTATTTATATCCTAAATTCAATGGATCTTTTTATAAGGGGTTTCAGGTCGGTTCAATGATATAGCGAGGGATGTAAGCCCCTCCTGTCGGCATATCTAACCTGACAGAGCCTGTTGAACTCGTTAATATAGGAATATGTGAACTTGTAATAAACCACTACGAGAACTTGGATGGTTATATCGTTAATTTATAGCTACCTAGGTATCTAGTATATACTGCTGGCTAGGCTCAAAGACGAAATGTAGGGTCAGAAATCTCGTGGCTACCGCTTCCGACTAACAGAGTGCGCTTTTCTCCAGGCAATACTACTTCCGCATCTGTGTTAGGTGGCACTTCTAACACCAGATGGAATCCAGTCTCATTAACCTTCCAGTCTGTTGATATCTTGCCGTAGGGACTTAGATAACTGGTCTTAGCCCAAGTTATATTCCCACCTGGTTCGACGTTCACTCTAGCTGTCTTCCATCCTGGTTTCGCTGGGGATAAGCCACCAATAACCTGGTGCATCCAGTTTGCCACTGAACCAAACGAGTAATGGTTGAAAGATAACATTTCCCCGGGGTTGAGTGAGCCATCTGGGAGGAGACTATCCCACCGCTCCCATGTCGTAGTTCCCCCCATTTCTACTTGGTACAACCAAGAGGGGACCGTAGTCTGTCTTATCATCTTGTAGAAGGTATCGGTAAGATTGTATTTGGTCAGGGTAAGGCCGAGTAAGTGCGTCCCCGAGAAACCTGTCCCAACTAAATAATTATTATCTGCGATGATTTTGTCTAACCGACTAGCCGCCGCTTTTCCTTCAGACTCGTTTTGGAATAAATCAAAGTATAGCGGTAATGCGAGGCCTGTTTGTGTCTCGTTGGCGACGATACCTTCGGAATCTATCCAGGCTTCTCTGAAAGCCGTCTTGAGATCTTTAGCCCATTTCTCGAAGCGGGTTTTATCGTCATCAAGCCCAAGTTCCGAGGCCATCTCCGCAACCAATCCAGTCACATAGACGAGATATGCATCAGCAACATATATAGAGCTCGTAGTGGCGCTGCCTGGGTCATCCGGTGGAGACTTAGGATCCAACCAATCACCTAGCTGAAAGTTTGAACGACTCCACAAGCCGGCTTCATTTCTAGGGATGCCATCGTCAAGCCACGATTTTGCGCCGGTGTATTGCTCTCGTAAAGCATTAAGATCTCCAGAGGCATGGTACGCGTTAAAAGGATTAGCGACCAGAGCATCACCCCAAACGGCCGTAGCCGTTACTGGCCCAGCTGCAGGTACTGCTGGAACCACTAAGGGTGGGACGCCTAGAGGATAAAGCGTTAGCGATGGATCGAGGTTATCTATGTTTGGATTTTAGGTAGAAATTCTTGTGTGGCTGCTTCTGGGCCTGAGGCGAAGACTTTAATATATACCTAGGTAACCTAGGGTAGGTAACTAACCTTTTACCTGCTCCGACTGAAGATCCTTTAACCAACTTCGCCACTAAAAAGCCAATTAGTTAGTCCTTGAAGAACAGCTCTGATGTCTGGAAGTAGTGAAAAGGGGTCATGCAACATACAAAGCCAGAAGTATCGTAGAGAAAGTTAGCTGTAGGAGCAAACGCGAGGCTATCTCCCGTCCATCCAAGTCTCTCATCTCTTTGGGGACAGTCGGTTGGGATACTCATGAAGTTGGATTTCATAGACCATCTCACGTTTTTGTGTAGCTTATTTAGGAGTTGGTCTTCACATTCGAAATAACCTGTCTCCTCCATGTCCGAATGTATTACTATCGCCCTCACCGAGTCGTTGTTTAGCGGGGTATCATCTTCGGGCCATCCGTCGACCATGACGTATCTGAATCCGTGGTAAGTAAAACTTGGCTCCCAAACTTGAAGCTGACCGGAGAGCGTAAGGTAATCTGTCTGAGTAGCATTTCTAAGTGGTCGAGTCGCTACTTCTCCGCCCTCCAGAACTTCGGCATGTAGTAACTTGATAGTATCTCCTCTTTTACCTTTAACAGTAAGCCTGAGCCATCCAGCGAAGTTCTGTCCGAAATCAATGATAGTCTTTCCGGTGGGAGATGTTAATATCTCCTGCAGCTTGATCTCTTCTATACGTTGGATAGGGGGTCCGTCAGGGGCAGCTAATATTCCGTAGGGTACCTCAAGCTCTTTCGCTGCAATCCACTCTGCCGTGTCCGGGACAATAAACCCAGGGGCTGACCACCCACTCTGCTCTAGCCTCGAGTCGTATGCTTCTCCGTTGTATATTTCAGAGGTCACGATCGGACCTGTACTTGCCGTCCAAGATTTATCTGTTCTGATACTTTGCGTTTTTCCATTGGATGTAATAACTAATAGGGCCATAGCACCTAGCGTATCGCCCCAAAGATTGCGGCTGCCTGATCCGTATCCGAGGCGGCCAGCATACCAACCCTCACCAACTGTTATTCCGAAGACGTTATCCCCGGCGAGCAGTAGGGCTGTCACATCATAAGTATCGTAGACTAGGCGATGTTTATAAGACTGCCATCCGGGTGCGAGTACGGTAGTACCGACCCTTTTCCCGTTGATTTGTGCTTCGTATAAGCCATAAGCGGTAATGTACAATCTCGCTTTCTCCACACCTGTACTATTTACTGAGAACTCTTTACGAAAGAGTAGCGGCTGGTGGGGGGCATCTTTCTCTGTTTCCTTGTCTGCGCTTATCATCTGAGCCCCTAACCAATCGTCCTGATTCAGAATTCCGGTCTCGACGTTGACATGTTCGGACCATGGAGTATCGGGCTTGTCTCCTTCGCCATATGCTCTTACTCGAACCGTGGCAGACTCTGATGATGCTAACGAGACGGTGGGCCAAGGCACAAGAACAGAATCTGAGGAATTGTGATGAAATATCTCAGTTTGGGATAACCCAGTTTGATTCTGCTTATGTCGTGATAATTCAATGCTATATCCGCCTTGCTTCCAGTCAGTAGCAAGACCGTTGAAGCGCCATGATATTCGAGGAGAAGCCTCTCCAATGCCTAAGGCTACTCTGTGATGCTCAAAGGACACTTGAGAGATTGACACGGCCATTGCGGTTTCTTTTGGGTGAATATGTTGAGTATTGCCAAGAGTTTAAAGTCCTGACCCTTAAGCCATTGAGACTCCTAAGCTATTGAAATGTGCTACGTGAATATAGCTACATCTTCTAACATCAGGAAGCTTAGAGCTGGATACATGCCTCGGCTATATAGCAATAAATAGGTACCTACTATACTTTATTGAGCTATTGAAAGCAATCGCAACAACTTCGGCATGCGTGATCGACTTTATCCAACCCCTCTTCTAAGTACGTATAGCTGTGACATCGTGCAGACTTCTCCCCGCAAAGATCAGCATCGCAGATGGAGTTACGAAAATCAGCTAATGCCGAAGAAACAAAACCTGATATCATGCTCAAGGATCTAAACTAGAGTGCGGTTGTATAGCTTATTGTAGTTAGAGATTAGGTAAACTTCACGATTCTTTCGATGAGTAAAGGCTTACGAAATGACCTTGGCTTTCGCCTGGATTCTGTATTTACCGAATTGACATATCATGGGTTTTGTAGTCGCTGCGACTTCGGGCCACCCGGTTGCTTAGATGGCGTTGACCACCGCGTGGTCAATAACATTGATGAAGATATTACTTACTTTATTGGTGGGTTAATGATTTTATGTTTGGAGATCGTTCGACACTGTCTTGGCTATAGTGAATTCCCCCTCACTCAACGACTTTGGAGATACCCAAATAGCGGACGGGGGAGGGGGAGGGGGGCGCAACTTCTGCTTGTATTAAACGAAATCTAAGTTCCCATCTAATATTTATACAGGTAAGTTCCATTACGCAGTATCTCTGCTTCTATATTTGTTGTATGTATGTACTAGTCTTTTATACATTGAGTGTCTACATAGCCGCCACGATCTCCGAAAAGTCCAATCCGCCTTGGACAACGACGATATAATGCCTACTTGCAAAAAAGAAGTCTGGACTACCAGGACGTTGCGCTACCGCACATCGCAGCTCTCGTCCGGGTGTGCACCACTCACTTAGAGCGAAGAAGTGCCTCCTTGTAAACACTGGCATCACTCTTTGAGCAATTGTTTTGGGATCATCCTGGACTATTGTAGTTTCCGAGGAGAAGCTGGCGCGGAAGTGTGGCGTTGCTTGTATTGGGCGAAGCTCCATGCTATATACCCAAAGATTCACATCCATAAGGAGAATCGTAGACTGACCTATGATGCCAAGTACTGTTAAAATTTCTGTGTCGATACTACTCAGACTCACTTCCGTTGGCAGTGGTTCTTGGGGTAATGGTGTTGCTGGATCGAATGCTGATATTGGCCAGACGTAGAGTCGTGGAGCTACGGAGGGTGATGTTCTAATGAACTCAAGGACGAAACCCTGTCCAACATAATACGATGAGCTGCGCGTGATTGGCGCTCTACTTGGGAACTGTTTGAAGGGGCGAGGCTCGACAGGTGTTAAGGGGGGTTGAAGGAGGATGCCGTTCGCGGTAGTTAACTCCCGGAAATCGGACCAGCAGAAGATTCGAGCGGTATCAGCAAACACCAGCACGGCCCAATCCTCGTTAGTTGGATGCTGAAAGGCTACAGCTGTTGTCGAACTTCCGCCTACGTCCAAAATGGCAACCTGTTGACTGAGAGTCATCGACATGGAGTTACTGACGACGTGAGATATCGAACTCAAAACCCGACCTGACAGCAAATCGCAAAGTTCGTCGATGCCGCGTCCACTAATTAGAAGCCGATCTGCTGAGGGGTTAATCAGTAGACTAACAACAGCGGTACCGAACCGGTGGTCTAGTATGATACGCGCGGCTGGTAACTTCTGTGACGCTGATGATGCGGGGAGAGACGAAGTTAGTTCTACCACCAATACCCTGCCAGAATCATCCGCTGAAACGACTAAGTTGCGTGCCTCTCCTAGAGCAAGATGGATAACAGATACGCCTCTTCCGTGTTGATACAATACGCCTAATTCCTTCCCACTGCTAGCTGAAAATGCCAGGACCTCGCCGTTACTCTTGCCTGCAACAACGCAGCCGCCGTTGGAAGACACAACTAAATCACTCGTGATCTCCGGGGTCTCCGATTCCTCGAGAATGTCGACTATTTTGGGGGGTTGCGGAACAATGTCACTTACGCTCTCCAGTTCGTTTTCCTTCCGCATCAGTGCTGCAGGTGCCCAGACACGGCATTGTTGGTCGTGAAGGTCGACGAAACGTAGACCATCAGCACTAAATGTTACACTACGGATCGAGTCATCGAAGGCTTGGATGCCGTATATGGGAACTAGTACTATGTTTCCGGCGTGGTCCTGGTCGAATTCGAATACCTCAATAATACCCCTGGTGCTACCAGTGACAAGGCTGCGACCGTCTGGGGAACAGGCGATGCTATTCGCGAACATATTCGGACGAGTGAACGTGGGTATCATGGTCATGTAATCAAATAGAAACAGCCTGCCGTCGCTGTAGGACACGACTAGCGTAGCGATCTCAGGGTTGGGGTTAAATGTCATATCATCTATGCCGTTGGTTCCGTCGGCTACGCATTGTCCTAGTAACTGCAGCTCAAAAGCGTTCCAGATAAATATTGGGTAATTTCGATAACCCACGGCGAGTAGCACAGTTTCACCCGCAGTAGAGAACGCCGCTTTCTTGGGTGGTTGATCAGGAATCTCCATAGTACCGGTGATATCTCCGTCGTGCATGCCTCTCCAGGAGATCGTTTCATGTTCACCGGTGTCAAGACTCCTAGTTAAATAAGGAGTCAGTATCACCTCTAGAATAAGGCTTTGGGAGGTAACATCATGATTGGTATGATCTTCTTACCATTTAGATAGTTCGCCAGATGCATAAGCACAGAGAAACTCGTCGTTACTTAGGAAGGTAAAGGCGATAAGCTCCGACTTTAATGGAAATGAAAGCCTCTGTGTTCTAGATCTTGTATGCCAGATGATTAGGGTCTTAGCACCGGAAGAAGCAAGATATTCGCCATCGTCACTAAACACCAGCATTCTGACCCTTTCTGGATGGACGAGGTCTGCCACGCGCTGGACAGATTGCGGGTCGAATAACGAAATCCGCCCAGTAGACAAGCCGACAGCCAAGAACTGGGAATCATGGCTTAGAGCAGTCGCCTTACCTTTCTCGAAATCGATACGGGTCAAACAGTCGTCCCATGTGGATGGAGGGATACCCTTCACAGTTATTGCCGAAGGTCGAGCACCATTAGCGAAACTCCTTGAAATGATAGATTCTGAGGGGCAAAATGGCGGTATAATGTAGTGTATCGACGCAGGACAGGTCAGTAATTGGGATCGGAACTTTGCGGCGACACGGATTAAATCAGTCACCCAGCAGTCAACAAGGTAAGCCGAGGGATCCATGGGAGGTAGGTACTTCATTCTTCGGCTGAGATATCCACGTAGATTTGTTGCCGCTCTAGTAATATCGCCCAAGTTGCCATGTCTAGCAATATGTTCAATCCACGATAGAATCGTTTTGCCTTTTAGAAAGGTACACAATTCGGTCATCAAGGTATCATCTCTCGAGGTGCCTCGGTATATGTGCTCAGAGAAGAAGCAGGCTGCGTAGTCCAAGAGAGAAAGGTCAGAAGAAATGCTATTAACAGACTTTGTGAACCCACGGAATCCTGAGCTCTGTCGCCGTGGTGGTGCATGCAGCTTGAAAGCGGTATTAGTGAGATACCGGAGTAGTAAAGAGCTAAGATGGGCGTGCTTCTCAGCGCCGCGGATGGCAAATTCCGAGTGAAGATTTGCATCGAGAAGAAATTCCCGCGCGGTTGCATGTAAGATGTGCACCCTGTCAGTGCTGTCAACAAAGACAAGTTGATGGCATAAGCTAGGAATCGCCTTGCTCATATTATGTAGCGTCTCGTTCACGTCAATCTTGACGGCAACACGTAACTCTTCAACCGTTAATGGTCGACAGGTTAGGGTAACCCACGTCAAAATTGATTTTGCAAGCTTGGCTCTAGGCCTATCCTTTTCCATCGACTGAAGCATCCGGCCATACATCTCTTGAAGGTCTATAGGCACTTCATGCAAGACAGCATCCATGGCTTCGCTGGTCCAAGCATTCTCGAACTCTTGAAGTACGAGTCGGACCCATAAGAAAGAGCCGGATGACTTCTTTAGGATCTTCTCGCACATCGCATGGACGCTTTCGTCGGTTTCTAGGCGGTCTAGCTCTCTGAGTCGCGAAGTCACGAAGAGACGCATATCGCCAAGCGTATCGGTTTCGGATAGGGATTGTAGGCTCACACGTGAACCGAGAGACGTCAAACCACGTCCGATCTCTTCTAGATTTCGGCTGGTAGCGAAAAGGCGGAGGCCCTTAGGTATTGTGCTCAGGATCCTTTTGGTGAAGAGAGAATTGAAGTTAGTACACTCGTCCACGCCGTCGATTATCCAGAAGTGGCGAGAGATAGATGGTAGCTTGAAGACCCCACTGATGAAAAGCCTCCTCCAAACGCTCAGCTCATCGGTTATATCCCAGCTCACACCTTCGCTTTCGAGTTGAAGGAGCATTTCTGTAACATGGATATCCTGCATGGCCATCTGAAAGACGAGCGAACGCAAACAATCGCTAAGCGTAGACTTGCTAGCCTCCTTTTCCTTGAAGAAAAAATAGCTACAAGAAGCACCTTGCGACTTCACCTGCTCAACTACGTGGCTGGAAAGAACTGATTTTCCGGAAGCTGGTCTCCCAGTAAGCCAGAGTATTCCTGGAGACTCATCTGCTTTCCACGAGGTAAACCGCTTGGCTTCTGAGAACCACCGACAAGAGCCGGGCTCTTGGAGCAATTGGAGAATTTGAAGCTCATCTTCTAACGTATCGACGACATCTAGGAACGACATTAGGCGTTGTTTAATGCTCTCTTGGTTCGAATCCTGCTGCGCAGAAGTCATGTGGATGTGAGGTTGTAAAGGGGTTACGTTCTGAAGTGGCAACGATCTTAGCATGTCAGCAGCCGTATGGAGGGCATTTCGTAGGATTCTGTAGTTAGGATCAGCCGGACTGTTGAATTTGCATAGCTCGCGGTGGTCAGCGTTCATAGCAATAATCTCTTCGTTGGGATAACCAAGCGTCGCCGAATGTCTCTCAACTACGATCTTGTTCAAAATCTTAGGCTTGACGGGGGCCGTCTCGTAAAAGGACCAGAGACGCAGATCTGACGCATAGTGACGGAACGTATCGTTAATATCCCTTAATGTAGACGAGTCGGGGATGAGGTCAGAGACGAACGGTTTCGAGCCCCAGGCGATGATAGACAACCTCTGCAGTATTGCAGCAAGATCGCTGCCCCGGTGCGGAGTGCCTAAGAAGAATATTGAGTGGATTCTATCGGCGAGGTCTTTACAAGTCGGATCCTGACGTGCCAGAATGTAAGCCTTCTTAGCGACGCATCCGCCCATACTATGACAAACGAATATAATACGTGTATTACTACGCCGTATGCTAGGGTTGTTTTTTAGTTCTCCGACTAGCGACTCGGCGAAGTCGTGAATATTAAGGATACTCTGTTGTCGTTCTACCCAGTCAGACTTATAACCAAATGTGTTGATACGTATATCCGTGAAGTCCGGATCTTTTGAAAGCCATGCTTGCGGCCAGTAATGATACCGATCGATAGAATAGGACCATGTTTTTCGACTACCTCCGCCTAGTCCGTGAACGAAGACAATATCCGCCGAAACGCTAGTAGGAGGTAACGGTTCGTAAAGAGTTGTTAGACCAAGAACGCCGTGGGTCTCGTCATCGGGTATCGTGGGAATCAACTCGCAGTTCTGTGTACGACCGTAAAGCAACGATGTACTGTCAGATATAGAGTTGGAAAATACGTTGCTCAGCTTCTTATGAATCTCTAACGAAAAGATGTGTTATAAGTACTCGATATGCTCCTATGCGTAACCAGAACAGCCTATGGAAGTTCCACATACCTGGTCCATGTCCCATCTTTATAACTTTTCAAGGCTCTAGCATTGTATAGAGATTAAAGCTCATGAATATGGCAAGTTTACGACGAAGAGGCCTACGGGAGATTTCCGAGTGTTTCCTCAACTTCTTAGGGCTAGGTCAATGACCAGCAGCAAGTCATAAGCAGAACGTTTCAGCCTCACCTGAGTTCATGTTGATAAGCAGCGCCAATCGCCCTGTAAGGGGTGGCGGGATTTCCTTCGCCCTCCAATAAGATTAACCATCAGGCCACCACACCAGTATGTACGAGCGTTTAAATCTATATTAGGTATGTATATTAAATGCGCAGTGATTGAACTTTTCACTTTTATCCTATCCGTTACCTGTAGCACAAAGTCGAAACTGAACGCAAGCCGTGCTAAGATAGGAGGTGACCATGGACCCCGCGGGCTTAATAGACAATAACGTAGTTGCTGGTAGAGTCAATGGGATTTTTCCTCCCATTAATTATCCCCCCCGCTAACAAGTTACAGCTCTTCCAGATGTCGCGGAAATTCTCGAGACGAAATACCATGGAGAATCATCGTGGGCGAAAGCAACTCGTGTGAGAGTGCTACACAGCGATGGAAGAACGGAAGACTACTTCATGAAGGTTTCTATCGGCCACCACGGTCGTGAAGCACTCAAAGGTGAATTTGAGTCCACCTTGGCCATTTATAACATCTCCCCCGACTTCTGTCCCAAGCCAATCGCTTGGGGTACCTTCGCCAGTGATCCGACGTCGCACTTTTACATTTGCAAATTCTACGACTTTATCGAAGGTGTTCCTGAGCCCAAAGGCTTTGCAGAAAGGCTTGCACGGCTTCATTCTAGTCATACTTCTCCTGACGGAAAGTTTGGATTCCACTGCGCGACATACAATGGCAATTTACCGCAGGATAATTCGTGGTTCGATAGTTGGGAGGCTTTCTTCGCAAATGGCCTCCGACATGTGCTAAAGATTCGCGAGGAGAGAGCCGGGCCCAACGTCGACTTGGATAGTCTTCTCCCTACCTTATTTAATAGAATCATACCGCGGCTTCTACGCCCGCTAGAGAGTGACGGCCGTAAGATATTGCCTTCGCTAGTCCATGGCGACCTTTGGTATGGCAACGCTGGAATCGTCGACGAAGGCACCGAAGAGGGCATAGTATACGACCCGGCTAGCTTCTGGGCGCATAATGAATGTACGTCGAATCTTCTCACTGTGCATCTGGTAGGAAGCTTACTATTCTCATAGATGAGCTTGGCAACTGGCGCCCCGAGCGAAACAAGTTCACTCGTCGATATTTTAAGGCGTATCACTCTCATATCCCCAAGTCTGAGCCTCAGGAAGACTACGACGATCGGAATGCACTTTACTCCTTGTATGTAACACCTTTAATGCTCTTATAGATATAATGTCCAAGTGACTCAATAACTACCTGATAGGAGATTCAATCTACATGCTGCCGCCATGTTTCCAGATCAGGGAACGTTTCTACAAATGTAGGCGATCAACCTCCTCAACCCCTTAGCGACGAGAATTAACTTGTAATAGGGCGATCGACGAGATTAGAAGGCTTGCAGAACGATATGGTAAAGAAAGTCATTTATAGTAGAAGTTTCTTCGTCTTAATTCGAGTTTATCTACTAAGAGGTTATTTATATGTAAGGTAGAAGTAAGGCTCCGAATTAAATCACTCAAGAGTCTCTATAATCATATTTACTGTATATTATACTGTATACTTGTCTCTTATCAAGCACTGTTCCCCTCACCATATGTATGGTACACATATAATGTTTTCCTTATAAGACTATCGTAAGATACCTATTTCAAATCAACTTCGCCTCGCCATCAATTTTACCATGGACCTCCCTGATACCTTTGTTTTGAACAACGGCCGGAGGGTTCCTGCCATTGGCCTCGGAACCTTTCAAGGCGAAGAGGGAAATTCTCTAGTCAAGAATGCTGTGAAGTTGGCTCTGGCACAGGGTTATCGGCATATTGATGGGGCCCACGCTTACGGAAATGAAAAGGAAATCGGCGAGGCTATTAAAGAGAGTGGCATCCCCCGGGAAAAGATATTCGTAACGTCCAAACTGTAAGTCGACGTTTAAGCCACTAGATACTGTGTGGGCTAACTAACATATTCCCCAGTGCCCAGACATGGCATGATCCTTCCGATGTTGCAAGAGCCTTGGATGAATCGCTTGTGAATCTTCAGCTAGACTATGGTATTAGAACACCCCAGACACTAAAGTTGTAAGAGAAACTGAACAATTCTGCAGTCGACTTGTATCTGATGCATTGTGCGTAACCGGATTCATTTTGGATTCGCACCAGAGCACCAAGTACTGATCATAAGCAATACCAAAGTCCCTCATGCTTACAAGGCTGGCGAGAATAACAAGACCTTGAGGCACCCAAGCGGTAACGGCAAGGTAATATGCCAACATTAAAGCCTATTTCCTGTTTTCAATCGCTCATGTATTCGAATAGCCTGTAATAGACTATGATCTGTCGAAGAGATATCCAGAAACTTGGCAAGCAATGGAGGAGCTTGTCGCCTCTGGCAAAGCACACTCAATTGGTATGTGCAGAACACCAGTCATCTGTATCTTCGTATAGCAACTGTATGCTAAGATAGTGTGTCAGGATTGTCTAACTTCAACATTCTTAAGACCAAAAGGATTTTCAAGATCGCCAAGATTATCCCAGCCGTCATTCAAGTTGAAATCCACCCGTAAGACAGGACGTATCTATCTCGAAGTTATATATCTAACAGTGTCTTCTTATTCATAGATATTTCCCACAGCACGAGCTCCACCTCTTCTCGGCCCAGCATGGTATCCTTGTCATGGCTCACCAACCCCTCGGTGGCCGGCCGATACCTCTTGTTCGAGGTAACCCTGACCAGCCGTTTCCTACAGAAGATCAAAAGGTATGTATCAGATATGATACGACAGTCAGCTCTCATCAGATAGGCAAATATAGCTTTTGCTAACCGTTATTTAGATCAAAGACATCGCATCCCAGTGTAACATGACCCCCGCACAGGTAGTCTCTCCCTTTCTCGGTAAGATTAGAATATCAAGTACTGAAAATCTAAATATAGGTTTGTTTGTCTTGGGCCGTGCAGAGAGGGATAGCAATTGTTCCCAAATCTATTAACGAGGCACACATGAAAGAAAACCTACGACTTAAAAGGCTGCCCGACGATGCTTTTGTCGTTGTCGATCATCTGTCTTCGGAACGGGGGCCCCTTCGGTTCCTTGACCCTAGTCGGCACATAGGCTTTGACATTTTTGATGAAGAACAGGATCAGCCAGTGGAGAATAGTGCCCCCTGGGATCATAACTGAGTCGTGAGTGATAGTTTGATCTATCTGGCCCTCGAAGGATACGAATTAAACACCTTGAGGGTTGACTGTGTTAGGATTTGGGTCTAATATTAGTCTACCTAGAGTATTTACTAGATAGTATTGCGAGGACTTTATGAACAGCATTCATATTAAGAAAGCACTGTTGAAACATTGACTCCCATTGAATGCAATCTCTTTACAAAGTAGCGAGGGTTGCGCCAAGGATTTGTTTGTGTTAATGATTGCCAAGAGATAGTGCCCTCTCGGTCTCCGCCAGGTCCACGCCCTCCGTCGCTACGGCCCTAGGGTATAAGTGGGGAGAGTTAGGAATAGACATAGATCTACATATTACAGGTATAAGGGGCGCTACGCGTTCTCGAAAGAGGATAGAAGGTTGAGCGTTAATAGTTTTATATTACTACACGGCTACTATACAACTACGTATGAAATACATTAAGGGTTCTCTCTGGCAGTTCTCCTCAAAGGTGACCCCATAATGGTGGGAGAGCCCTAGTTCGTCAGTGTCGCCACCTTTTATCCCGCCCATTCTAAGATGTCCGTCGATCCTTTCGAAGCCACCACGTTTGTTAGACGATGAACCTTTGACTCTTGAGTGTTTTTCCAACCCAACTTCTCCGGGACACATTTCGGTTGGAATGTCTATATACTAGACATTGTTGGCATCTCTCGGGAATTTGAGGAAAATCTAATAGATCATGTTGGCGAAGATCACTATTGCCTAATATTTGTTGGTATCGGTGAGGTATACTATTGAAAATCCTGCCGCATATTGATTCTGGCTAAAGTCATTGTTAGGGCCAGATAGCGAAGCGGATTCAAAGACGGGAACCTTCTTACTATAGTCCAAGTTGGCCAGGTATAAAAGGGCCTTGCTTTTTGCTCGACGTCGTGGTCGATTGGGACCGACAAGGCTCTATTAGGACGACAACACCGTGGTTCGGGATATCTAGGTAGAATGAGAAACTAGACGCTGCAACGGGAATAACAAGGATATTTTCTCTTCGCGGCATCTTACTCGGACTCGCGACGGCCGAGTAGCTTTGTGAGTAATAAAGTCGTGTTGTGTTAGATATAGTGGTGGTGTTGTATAGAGTAGTGTTGCATAGAATAGTGTCAATATTAGTGGTAGTATTGGGGGTAGTGTTGGTAGATGAAAATGTTCAAGTTAGAATGAAGGTGTTGAAGTGACGTTAGGATGTTACTGGTGAAAAAGTAGAATTGGAGGGAATTGTTTTTCTCATATCGTTGTTTGTGGAAGAATTTATTAGGAGAAGGGTTCGCACTTTAGAAATTTCTTAGTGAATGCCTAAGGTAACAACTAACAGTTGAAGACAGGTGCGAGTCAAAAGAGTGCTAAGTAGATGTGTCGTTAACTTGTAAGGTAAGAACTATTTGGATTTGATACAACCTTAGGTTAACCTAAGGTTGTTGACTCAGAGACTCTACAGGTACCAACTACTGTATGTAAAGTAAAAGTAGTATGAGGTTGTAGCCAAGCGGAATGCACGGTCTGCTAGGAAAGTCTAAATAGGAATAAGTTGAATCAAGTGACATTTACATTCGCAGTGGAGGTAGTTGCTTTTGTCTGATGTGATTGCAGGAGCACCATTCGAACGATGTAGTAACTTCTTGAAGCTAAAGTTTATTAATATAATGTTAGAAATTATAACTTTAATGGTGTCATCCGTAAAGTCAATGTCAGGATAGGTAGTATTAAAATAGTAGCACCTACTTTTCTACTCTATTCCGAGGGCGCTGTTTGCCCCTTACATATGTAGTAGATAGACCCCCGTGGTTACTCCTAACTTACTTATACCCTGACAGGCAGGCTCTATCATGATGTTATACTAGAAGAAATGGGAAAGACTTTGCAATATTGTTTCATTAAGAACCTTAAGTACCTCAGTAGGAACCCAAGGTTAGATTTGACTACCCATTCTAGGAGAAGTGACGTTATGTAGTTGTGAATAACTTAATGCGTACCTCCAGAATGCATACCCAGGTATACATGTAGCTATATAATTTCTTGGAGCCTATGGGGATTCTTAATATCTTTCTAGGCTAGCTACGGCGAGTTGATGATGGAGGTAGTCGTGCAACAGAGAGTTAGATATGTAGATGTTGTGAGAGATGTGTACTACTTGTCGTCAACTTTACCGTTGTTATAGATTCATGTATCTATATAACAGTATAATATGTAATAAATACTTCTGGCGATTATAGCATATAACTACATAAGAATACTGTAAAGACACTATACTACTATTCTATTATATCCCATATAAGTACCCAGGTATCTTACTGACCTTAAAACATAATATAAGACATGTCTAGTAACTCTAGCTTGCACTGTGAGATAGCTACGCCTTGCATGCAATTTAGCCCCCTTACGCCGAAGATTGCCACCCCGGACCCCTCGAGCTCGCAAGCCGTATTGTAACACACACCTACCTAATGTAGGCATATTATGATAATGCGTAAGCGAACAAACTATCGATCCGTGCATCATAGGTACATAATGTACCTATTGTCTCATGTATATTGTATATGATATGTCAGACGAAATTTCGCGGGGGCTTGGTGTCTTGCGGATGAAGTAAAGTAAGCTTCTTTTTACCCCTTTATCCCTTTTTTATTTATAACTTGAGCCAATTTACCAACTACTACGTAGCTATTTCGTCGTATCTTCAACTTGTAAAGAAGTCCTCATAATTAGTGCAATTATTTCTCCATAATGCATCCGAATAAAACCCTCATCTATAAGCTATATACGCCGCATTGCCCGGTTCCCGGGGTGCATCTAACAACCGAGTCCCGCCCATTAGACCTGGACGCCGCTCCTCCCCCTGGAGGTATTACCATCCAGAACATATATCTATCGCTAGATCCTTATCAGCGGGGGCAGATGCGTCTCCCCTCAGATACGGGCACTTATTCGATGCCTTGGATAGAGGGCGAACCAGCCGTAGTCACTACTCTTTCTACTGTACTCAAATCTGACAACTCGCGATTTAAGCAGGGTGACACTGTCATAGCTATGGCTGATGCGGGTGAATTTGCGATCGTACCCGCGAAGCTAGCAGATTTTGCTCGCGTCTGTCCGCCACTCCCCCCGGGAGTGACGATACCTTCTTCAGCGATTATCGGTGCGCTTGGCATACCAGCCCTATCAGCCTACGTCAGCTTTTTCGAGTTCGTGCCAGAGCCTCGATCAGGGAAAACCCTCTGGGTTTCCGCAGCTAGCGGTGGCGTAGGTCAGGTGGTAGGGCAGTTAGCCAAGATGCACGGCATGAAAGTCGTTGGAAGTACCGGAAGTTCCGAGAAGGTTGATTTCCTAGTTAACGAACTTAACTTCGACGCAGCGTGGAACTATAAGAACGAAACAACCGCAGAAGCGTTGAAACGACTGGCACCAGATGGATTGGATGTCTATTATGATAATGTAGGAGGTGAACAACTCGAAACTGCTTTAACAGTGATGAAAGACTACGGCACCATAGGTAACAACCCTAACCATCTACGATAATTCTTATGATCGAATCTCTGACGAGTTATGAATGCTAACTAATAGAATGTCTCAGTGTCGAGCGGTATGGTATCACAGTATAACCTTCTTAATGAGGAGAAATATGGTATCAAAACGGGGATGAACATCTTCCTGAAGCGCCTTACTATCAGGGGGTTCATCTGTTCCGATCCACATCACCTTACCAAGTACCTACCTTCATTTGCCTCAGATATGATCACTTGGATCGCCCAGGGGAAGATCAAGACTAAAGAGGAGGTTATTCTCGGGATAGATAATGCACCAGTTGCATTTGTTCGAATGATGGAGGGAAACAAACTAGGAAAGATGGTGCTCAGAGTGAGCGGTGACTAATACTTTATTTGAAAGGAAGAAATATCCAATTGAATTAACATCGTACGTCACGCATATTGTTCCTTAGTTACTCTAACTGTGGCTCGAAATCAGAAGCAAGAATGACATTTACCTAAAATTCAATTTATGTGCCTATTATATGTTTATAAAAGTGGACAGACCTAGGCGCGCATCATTGTAACTTGACTGGTCTTTGAGAGACGTTCGGGACAATATACCTCCTCTCCTAGTGGTCCTATCCGTCGATATGGATTCATTTCAATATCAAGATGTCTCCCAGTGTTGGCAGAACTATCCAGCCTTGTAGAGCTTTGCCCTTGCGTTGTAGAGTAAAGGCTGAGTGATTTCAACGTGTTTATTACACCCAAGTAGAGGGGTCGGAGTGCTGGAAGACAAGCAGCAATCAAATAGCAGCTTGATTCTACAAGAGACCAAGTCGCGATGTCGGCAGAGTCCCACGTACCGTCACTCAAAGCAGTCACTCGGAAAGTGACGATAAGACGAATGATAGAAGCAATCATCCCGCTAGAAAATATCAGCACATGCTCTCTCTAGGTAAGTAGGTGGTTAACAAGACTGCGCACAAACTTCCGAGAAGAAAAACTCCTGAGAGGGCAATCTTCTGCTTCTTATCAATATGAAGACCCCATATGGTTGGTAATGGTAATAGTAGCATCATTACATCGGTGGCGATGCTTGGAATGTTTATGCCCTGCCAAAATCGTGGCGCATCAATACAGTTGGAGGCAGATAGATTTATATCCCAACGGGCGGAAAAGGGATGACAGGAGGCGAGTGAGGTTATTATTCCTGCTATTCCATTCGCACTGACGATGCCTCCAATGATATAGGCCGAAATACGGTAAGGCTTGGCGGTAAGGATACGCAGATATGATGCTAAGATTGAGAGCTTCGGGATGGCAACTGCGGCACAATATATCTCTTCTATTGCATAACCACATTTGGCCCAATTCACCACGGCTTGCGGATTTTCGATGTATAAGACGGGCAAGTGGCGTCCAACACCTGCGATCTTCACTTCGACTATAGACATAGGTGAGTAAGAAATCCAAAACAGAAAGACTAGCCTGAGACATACCGATTGAAATGACACACATTCCTAAGGAAAATACTAAAGCCGGAATAATTATATAATCGTCGACCCCTAGTTTTGCTTTATGGGTCATACGAGTAGCGAAACGAAGGGCGACTATGATGGAATCTAAGCCTATGAATACACTAGCTATGACAATGAGGCGCGGCCCCGTCGTTTCCGCTATATAGGAAGGGGGGAACGATGTTAGATTTGAGGCCATCGTAAATATCCAAAGTAGTGTTGAAGAGAAAATAGTTGAAAGTCAACAACACTGCGAAGACACGAACGAGTTAATTTTCTTCATTTTCATCAGTTACATATTAAGTGACATTCATTACAGTGAATAGATAAGGAGGATCGTTTTCTAAATATTAAAGTCTTGGAAGAATAAGCAAAATCCTCTTAGCACACATGGAGGGTAACACAACAGTTAATATACAGCATAATTACCTGATATAGGTACTCAGCAGTATGTGTTCTATGGTTCACGAATAAGGCATGTAAGACTTATCTTTTTAGCCAGTAAGCGCCAATAGGGTTGCAGAGCCATGAAAATATTTCTACGATTTTTCACTAACATCAGAAATTATGTACTTGAAGCTCAGAGAGGATGTATTATTCGAACGCGAAATAAGACATTAACTGTATCTAACTGGGTATTAATATCTTTTCTTTTTGCCTCCTTGCAGCCAACACCACCAGCCTGCTTCTACAAGCGCTTGGAATATTAGTAGCATACGCGGCTCCTGTTCGGACATACTGCGCTATGATCATACCTAGACTATTAGTTTCACCGCTAAGTTCATAGGATTGGAAGGCTATGCCATTTGGAACCTATATGCGCCCTTACACGCAAGAAAAGTTCTTTGAGAGTAAATTATTATGTATGATTGCTAAGAGTAAGTCCTCATATAAATTATTTCCCTCGATGATGAGCGGATTATTCCTTCTTGTCTTAGACTCTTACGTTCGAATGATATGGCCATATGGTGTTCCACAGTGTAACACAGTACTATTTCATCTGTAGTGTTAGTGACATGGTGCTCTATATCTTGATTATAACTATAGATCTATCCCCTAAAAGTCCTCGTTGATAAGCATCGTCTTTGATACGTTTATTTTTACATATATGTTTACCCAATAGAAATAAGTGCTCCATACTCCCAAAATCCAAGCATTTTAAGGGGCTATACGGATTCATTATGGGTCATTATCAGGCAGAAGGGTCTGAGCCCATTGCTATAGTAGGGATAGGTGCGCATTTATAAGCTTAACTTCCTTATTCTTTAGATAGATCCTAATCCTTAAGTCAAGGTTGCCAACTGCCTGGGAATATTCGGAGTACAACAGACTTCTGGAATTTCCTGATGTCTGAGGACATTTCTAAAACCGACAAGGTCCCTAGCTCGCGATTCAATATTGACGCCTATCTTCATTTGGATAATGAGCGGCCTGGAAGTTTCAATGTCCCGGGTGGGCACTTTCTACGCGATAATCCTCACGCATTTGATCCCAGCTTGTTCAAGATATCCCCTGTTGAGGCCATGTGGATGGATCCACAGCAGAAGAAGTTGTTGGAAGTCGTCTACGAGGCCTTGGAGAACAGTGGGACTACTCTTGAGGACGCAGCCGGCCGAAACACGGGCTGTTATATTGGATGCTTTTCTTATGACTTTCAATTCATGACGATGAAAGAGCCCGACTTTAGACACGCCTATACGGCGACGGGTGTCGATACAGGTATACTCGGAAATCGTATTAGCTATGTCTTTGACTTTAAGGGTCCCAGGTATATATTCTCAAGCCGCAATGTCTCTGCTTTTTGCTAACTCCAGTCATAGCCTAACTGTTAACACTGCTTGTTCGTCATCGTTATACGCCCTGGATCTTGCCTGTAAGGCGATTTCTACTGGAGAATGCGATAGTGCTATAGTAGGAGGCTCTAACATTATTATGACTGTGGATCAGCATATGAATACGGCTAAGCTGGGAGTTTTGTCCCCAAATAGTCGATCACGTCCCTTTGACCAAGCAGCCGATGGGTATGGACGAGCTGAAGGTGTGGGAGCTCTATATCTCATGCCTCTAAGCTTGGCTATTCGGGAAGGGAAACCTGTTCGTGCGGTAATTAGGGCTACCGCAACAGGGAGGTACGTTATTTTCCACTTGTATAGGTACCTAACCAAAGCTGGTGAATACATCTAATCGTTAAGTCGTGTAACAGTAATGGTAAGCATGGAGATGGGGTCAGTGGTATCACTCATCCGAGTATAGAGGGCCAAGCAGATGTCATCTCCTTGGCCTATAGGCTGGGGAAATTGTCGCCGAGTGAGACAAGATATGTGGAGTGCCACGGCACAGGAACTCCTATTGGAGACCCTGCCGAAGTAAAAGCTATTCACAAGGCGATGGGCGCTTCTAGACCCCAGGAAGATCCTATACTCATCGGGAGCGTAAGTCCTACTCTTCAGTTAGGCTTTGCTCGGCTGATAGAACTAGGTAAAAGCGAACATCGGTCATAGCGAGGCGGCTAGTAGTATAGGAACCTTGATTAAGGCGGTGCTAGCTCTAGAGAACGGCATCATTCCTCCAACCGCCGGTGTTACGAAACTCAGTACGAGCAGTAAGCTGAACCCGATCTTTCCACTACCTTATGTTATTTACTCCAGCTAAATAATGCTTATTATAGTACCTTGGGATGATATGAATGTCAAGGTAGTTACAAAGCCTACTGGGTTTCCAGCTTCTGCATCGTCGCGCCGGATTGGCGTCAGCGCATACGGGTATGGAGGAACAGTAGCACATGCTATTCTTGAAAGCGCACAGTCTATCGCACCTGAATATTGCGCGCACAGATCCATGCGCCATCTTAAAGGTATAGAAGAAGAATTGGGGTTCGAAGGGTCTGACGATGGCCGGCCGCAGTTGCTGCTCTTTTCGGCACATGATAGACCGACGCTCCAGAACAATATCGAGGCCTTTTCAACTAGCTGTCAGGATGCCTCCCTTGTTGACCTTGCTTACACTTTAGGACTTCGCAGGACAAAGTTCCAGGAGCGGGCTTTCGCTATCGCTCGCAGAGAAACTATAGAGTCTAACGTAAAAGACGCGCTCTGTGAAATTAGCTCGGCTCCCCAAGAAGCAGCATGTCTAGCCTTTGTGTTTACAGGTACGATATCCCTACATAGGTCCTAATCCTATCGTGATAAGGTAGGCGTCCTAACGTAATGACAACTAGGTCAAGGTGCTCAATGGCCGCAGATGGGGGCGACATTATTGAGCATATTTCCGTCTGTTCTCCAGACGATTCGCAGACTAGATCGTCACTTGTCTACACTTTCGGTTCCTATTTCGTGGAAGATTGAAGAGCTTTTAACGAGCTCAAAAGATGCGAGCTTGATAGATGATCCTCAATACACCCAACCATTATGTACGGCTGTGCAGATCGCCCTCGTCGACTTGTTAACCCATTGGGGGGTAAGGCCCTCTGCTACGATCGGGCATTCATCTGGTAAAGCCTCCTCTTTCTACTACTAACATAGCCTTGCAAATATTATACTTACTCGTGGAACATAGGCGAGATGGCCGCGGCTTACGCTGCTGGGCTCATCTCTGCAGAGGCCGCGATTACTGCTGCCTACTTTCGCGGACTCGTAGCCGCCAATCTCAGCACGGATGGTGCAATGGTTGCTGTAGGAATTGGCCCGGAAGAAGCTAGTCGTCTTATTGATGAGCTTTCATGTAGCTCTACAGTAGTTGTGGCTTGCCATAACTCGCCTACTAGCACCACCCTCAGCGGCGATCGGGAATCCGTGGAACGGCTTAAGGAAATTTTTGACGAGAAGAAGATCTTTGCGCGTATGCTAAAGACGAATGGAAAGGCTTACCACTCGTATCATATGAAGGATGTCGCGGCAAGATATATGGAGTTTTTGGAAAAGGAACCAGGTCAAATTTCGAACTCTCTCGCAAAAGTCCCCATGTTTTCAACTGTCAGAACGGAAAAGCTGAACTACACAGAGGGAAGAATTCCCGGATCTTACTGGGTGGACAACCTTACAAGCCCGGTCCTTTTCAATCAGGGGATCCAATCCATGTTAAACGAAATGCCAGAGATCAACCTTCTCGTAGAGGTTGGACCTCACTCTGCCCTGAGCGGCCCTATCCGGCAAATATGCCAGGCTGTCGATAAGAAAAGCGTAGGCTACCTGCCAACGCTCAAGAGAAAGGAGCATGATGGGGATCAGATGCTCCGGCTTGCTGGAGGTCTATGGATAAGGAATGCTGATATTGATATCGCTGCCGTAACCCAAGTTGAGAAGCTGCTTGATAATGGATTGATCGACGTGAAAAGGGGATCGCTTCTCGTTGATCTCCCCACCTACCACTGGACATACCCAAAGATCAACTTTGCTGAATCGCGCACTAGTAGAGAGCAACGCACTGTGAAAGAGCCGCGTCACGATATTCTCGGCCGCCGCGTAGCTGGCACCTCCGCGTTAGAATTTCTCTGGAGGAATGTCCTTCGTCGGAAAGATATACCTTGGATAACCCATCATCGTCTTGGGGGTGAGGTGATGCTCCCAGCAACAGGCTACCTTGCTCTAGCTATTGAAGCAATTACACAGGTGAGTATGGAATCTAGAGATCACGTCGAGATTTATAGCTACACTATGCGAGATGTAGCCATTACGTCCGCCATTGTGGTTCCAGATGATGATGAGGGGACCGAGACGCTATTTCGCCTTCAGCCCATGAATAACGAGCTCGGCGCATCCAAGAATGGTGAGGCAATACGATGGTTCCGGTTCATCGTCTCATCATGTTCATATGGCGCGTGGAAAGAAGCCGCAACGGGTTTGGTTGCTCTTAATGTAAAGGGTCGAGCCTCCGATCACAAGCCTCAAGTGCTACCTGATACTCCCCATCGTGCTTCTTATATCGATTGGCTCGAGAAGAACCGTACTGTAGGTTTCGATCATGGTCCGGCATTTCGTCGTATCAGTGATATATACACGAACGATAAATTGCACGTCACTCGGGGAGATATCAGAATCAGTAAAGAATGCGGTCTGATGCGTGCAGAGTCTCGCTACGTATTGCATCCCGCCGTCCTAGATGCGTGCCTCCAACCTTTTCATGCGACGATGCACAAAGGGAAAATTGACGACCTGCGATGCGGCGTGATCCCGACGCACTTCGGCGAGACTACTATCTTTCCCCCGTCGGATGAGCAGCTTGCTGGCCGTTGTGTAGTACAGACTTGGTGTCCTCCGCTAGGTAACAGAGCATTTTTGTCTAACGTGCAGCTTATCTCACACGACGGACAACTTCTAGTCGATATGACTGATTCAAGATCACTCTTGTACAGGTCTGCTCTTCCACGAGAGATACAAGACAATCCCCAACAAGATCTCTATGTCAAGCTGGACTGGAAAATCGACGCTGACTACCTAAGCTGGGCAAACGAGGCAGGAGTATTATTGGACCAGCCATTAACCACTATCGTGCATTCTATGCTGCATAAAAATCCTGATATGCACGTTTTATCTCTTGGCGACTCTCTTGTTCAGGTCGTTCTCGAAATCAAGTCGTCCCTTGAGATAACCATCGCGGCTCCGTCCCAAGAAATCAAAGATGTTCTCAAACCCCGGTATTCTGCGTATAAAGCGATAAGCTTCGTTGATATTGATATTGGCATTCCTGAAATTATTAAGTCAAATACAAAATACGACCTAATTCTTGCTTCGGTGATCGACCAGGTTCGGGTAGCGACTTTAGAGCCGGCCCTTAGAGTTCTTAATCCAGCCGGCACTTTAATCATTCGGACGAGCGCAGATGAGAGCCAAGTATGGAATCATAGCCTAGAGGGCGTTGGATTCTCCTGTGTTATCGACCAAGCGTTGCCCGACGGCACCATTATGAAGATAGCCATAAACCTAAGCTCTTCCAATTCAAACAGCGTCAAGTCGCATTCCAGTAATATTCAACTTGTTTATCAAGACCCATCCTCGCCGCTTCTATCGGTGGTATCTAACAGATTCAAGAATTACGGCTGGAACGTAGATTTGTTACCAATCAGCTCCGTCGACAAGGGCTTGGGCGAGCAAGTCATTCTACTAGATGACGCTGATATCCCGTTACTCGCGTGTCTAAACGAGCAAGATTTGGCCGGGCTGATAAACCTCACCGAGAGAGCATCAGCATTCACTTGGGTGACATGCGGCGGTCTGCTCGCCGGCGATAAACCGGAGTACGGCATGACTGAGGGAGCCGCTCGGGCGCTCCGCCGGGAGAAAGGGTCTCTGGATCTCGTGACTGTCGACTTTGATGCTGAAAACACGCCGAGGAATCGCGTAGCCGCGCTCCTTACAGACATAGCTGACCGTCAAAAGACTAAAGGTAGGAATGGGGAGGTTGAATATTATTTGAGGGATGGTATTGTTCATATAGGACGTCTCGTTCCGCATTATGACCTAAATAGGCAGTTTGTACCCAACCCCGATGAGACTACTACGGTTTGCCAGCGCGATCATCCTGCAGTACGAGCAGAAATCAAGAACGGAACACCAGTTTTTCTCTTAGATGACGACCGAGTGTCAGAGCCTCTACAGCCTTATGAAGTAGAAGTACACGTCGCAGCCATGGGTCTCTCGGCATTTGACGGCGCCGACGAGTCGACATTTCTCAGTCATGAGATAGTTGGGATTGTGACGCGGGTTGGGAAACAAGTGGACAACTTACAGCCTGGTACAAAAGTGGCTGGATTCGCACTGGACCGTCTCGCAACCTTCCAACGGACTTCTGCAGAACTTGTGCAGCCCCTACCACATAATTATAGTTCCTCGTTCAAGGAGGCGGCGACCTTGCCCTCCGCGTTCGCCACCGCTATCTACGGTTTGGAGGTCTTAGCGAGAATGGAGCCGATAGAAAATGTAGTGATCATCGACGATATGGGTGCAGTTGCTTTGGCCGCGATTCAACTCTGTCGTGTGTCCAAGGCAAATGCCATCGTCGTTACTTCATCGGCTACCGCAGAAGACTATATCCGTAATAATAAGCTACTACCATCGGACCTTGTGGTCAACAGCAGTAATACCGGCATCGGTTTGAAGTTACAGGAGGTAACAGCCGGGAAAGGAGTTGATATTATATTCTGCTCGACAGCTGCCGATAAAGCGACCGTCGTCGAGTGCAGTCGAGAACTGACACTATTTGGTAGAGTAGTGACGTTTGGCCATACGAGCAGCTATAATCCTACCGTATCTGCATTGTCGACGGAGGCCAAGAGTATAAGTCTCTTTCATTTTGATATTGCTGAAATCATTCGGCATAGGAAAGGGACAATAGCAAAGTAAGACCCATCAGTGCCTCATTAACCTAATAGGATGTCTAAAATAACTCATTCAAGGCTTCTCGGGCGATGCATGGAACTATATGCCGCGGGAGATATCAAACCACTTCGTCCACTTAATGTCATCGGGCCTAACGAAATAAGTGAGACTCTACAGTCTATCCCAAGTGATATGATATCAGGCAAGATTGTCGTTTCTTATGACCAAGATGCGCTTTTCAAGGTTAGATCCTAAGCCCCATGAAGATACGCCCTATTAACCCCTCTAAAAACAGGTCGTCCCTTCACGAAAACAACTAAGGTTCAAGGAAGATGTCACTTACCTAATGGTAGGTTGTCTCAGCGGGCTTGGACGTCAGGTTGCTCTCTGGATGGCGGATCGGGGTGCGAAGCACTTTGCCTTTATATCGCGGACAGGTACCGACAACCCCGTAGCCGCAAAGACCGTTCAGTCTCTCCAAAACCGAGGGATCGAAGTATTAGTATTGCGTGCGAACATAACCTGTCGAGACGAGCTTACTGGAGCCATCGCCAAGCTCGATCCTGCCTTTCCCATACGTGGCGTCGTCAACGCAGCTACCGTCTATCGCGATGCTACTTTTTGGAACATGACAATAAGCGCCTGGCAAGAAGTCGTCGATACGAAAGTCGGGGGTTGTTTGAACCTGCACGAGGTGCTCAAAAACGAGTCTCTTGACTTCTTCGTCATGACCAGTTCCATCTCAGCAACCTTGGGCTCTAGTGGGCAAACCAATTATAGCGCTGGTGAGTAACATAGCTCTAATCGTCCCAAACATCCTTCTTGGTGTTTGAAACTTACTTATCCTTCCTAGCAAACGCATTTCTCGATTCTCTAGCACGCCACCGTCGAGCGCGCGGCCTTCCCGCCGTCTCGCTCATCCTCCCAGCTGTCTTTGGAATCGGTCACATCGCTGACGATCCTGAGCTCGAGAAGTCTATCAGAATGAAGGGCATGTACGGAATCCGGGAGAAAGAAATGCTCGAAGCATTTGAAGTGGCTATGACACCGCAGAGCGACCTACCCTCCAACTTCGACCACGTCATGGTAGGCGTTCAGCCCCGTCGCTTCGGGCACGCCGTCAAGACTTCTGGTGTTCATGCTCCTTGGGAAGATGATCCACGGCTCAATTGGATAGCAACCGCGATAGAAGGGGAGAACGGGAATAAGAAGACCACAGGAACCAGTAGTACGAATACCATTTTGGTCACGATCCAAGAGGCCCCTAGCCGAGCGCAGGCAGTCGAGGCCGTCACAGAATATTTGATTCAGCGACTAGCAAGACTGCTAATGATTGACAATGAAGCCATCCAGGCGACACACAAATCGCTCGCAAGCCACGGACTCGACAGCATGATTGGCGCTGAGTTCCGTAATTGGATATTCCGCGAATTTAGAGTCGATATACCCTTCCAACAACTTTTAGCGGGCAGCTTGACAATTGCGGATTTGGCAGCGATATTATGTGAGAAAGCTACCAAAGCATGAGGCCTGTATTACGACAGCAGTATAAAGTAGCTATACCTAGGGATGTAACGAGGATCTCCAAGTGTACCCTAAACCATAGTACGATATAATAATTTGCATAAATCGTGACTGAGGACTCTAAATGTGTAGGTACTCCTAACGCTATGATGCTACCTAACAGCTTGGCAACCGGGTTACCCCAATTACGGGACGTGCGGAGTAGCTCAGCCCTCAACTTCTCCGAGCTGAAGCTATATCATAGTACCGTGACGGGATGACTTTCAATACAAATCCTAAGACGAAGATCTGGTGATAACACGGAGATACCTAGACAGTAAGAGGATGAATATGATAGCACATAATAAATCATCCCCGGGCATAGCGGAATTAAACTGTTAGCCCCGTAATCCTAGGTTGATAACATGTCGTATATGAACCAAGATAGATGGTAACTTGGCTCTTGGTTAAGGTAGGTAACTAACTGCATGACACCGTCCTACTTCGTGTCAACATACCGCTATATCACTAAAATGTTATTTGGTAACAGATTTAGATATCTATATCTAACACACCCCCTTAGGTTTGGAGCGTTTAAGAACGGCTAAGCCTATGATATATTATTTGCATTTCAAACTCTTAATTGCTTGTAGAATCGAACCTTGGGGTTATTTTGGATGCTCCGACTAACCTAATAGTGGTGAGGGCTATACGGCTACCTACCTCACTCGATCGGGATCAAGCATATAAGACTTTTAATTGTTAACATACCGCTACACTACGAAAAGGTTATTTCGTAATAGATTTCATTCTATTACATCTTATATATCAGACAGACATTTATCTAACACTTCGTCATCAAATCCAAATCCGCATACATGGCAACTTCGGTTTCTTCGCTATCTCTATCATCCTCGCGCACGCTCTCCTACGCTTTGACACCAGTATCTTCTAAACCGGAAGCACCTGTTGTCCTCCTCTCTAATTCCTTAGCCGCGCCGTTCCCTACTTGGGATCATGTAGTTCCGAAACTTACTTCTAGGGGCTTCGGCGTATTGCGTTATGATCATCCCGGCCACGGAGCTTCTTCCGTCCCGGTGGATCTCTCCTCGACTACTTTGGAGACCATGGCTGATGACGTTCGAGAACTTCTGAACCACCTTTCTATTTCGCGGGTGCACGCCTGGATCGGTGTAAGCATGGGTGCGGCGACTGGTATAGTATTCGCTGCGAAGTACCCCGGAATCATCGAGAAGCTGGTAGTGTGCAATACTATTTCCTGCTCTCCGCTCAGAGCCGGAGATATCGATATATTTGAACCGATGGTTAGGGAAGCTAAGGAAACAGACTCCATGGACCAAACTGTCCAATCCATTCTCGAACGCTGGTTTGGCCTTGCGTGGATGAATGCTAACCCGGATGAGACGCGCCGCATGCGACAGATAATGCTCACGACGAGCATCGACGGCTTCGAAACTTGCTGCGCAGCTCTCCGTAGTGATACTTTTGATCTACTCCCGTTAGCCGAGAAGGCAGGCCAAGGAATCGACGATGCTCTATTCATAGTGGGAGAAAACGATACAGATCTACCGGAGTATATGCTCCCGCTAAGGGATGGCATACAGCGGGGACTAAAAGAGAAGGATTCGCAGGCTTCTATTAGGTTTGAGGTCATAAAAAATGCCGGGCACGTTTCGTATATTGACGGATACGATCAGTTTATTGCTGTTATTACTGAGTTTTTACGACAGTAGCTACGTAGCGATATGACTCTAGCTTTGCACACATCTTGCCTGGCTATGTCCCCTATGAGCGCGTTTACCTACCTAAGCCATATTACTCTCCTCACCAGTATAAGTTATCCGTGCTTTCGTCAAGGCTCGCTACATGTATTCATGATGATCACAGTAGCTAAAATAGTCACGATATAATTATATGAAATTAAATTTTGCCATATTAGCTCATTCTTATTCGCTGGTAACAATATTAACATAATATAAGGATCCCGAAGCCCAGCCGCCTCAAGCATGCTAGCCGCTCTTATTGTCGCTTCATAACGCCGTGGATAATGTCTGAGGAGCTCCATGACAGACTCACTATTATCGACCGGCGGCGAGTCTGCTTCTGTGAATGCCTTTTCAAGACTTTTGTGCAATATCGCCGACCCTATATACGCCCCATTCCATTATGCAGTATACCAACAAAATATAGCCTAGCCTGATATTAAATCAGATTTCCAGATCTTCTAAAATCTCGCTTTCATCGTGAAGAACGCGTCGGTGACAGCGGCTATCCTATTAGTTTCGGCAAACTTATGGATCAAAATATCAAAGTTCCAGCATCTCGCCGGACACCATTTTCTAAATACGTAAGTATGCAACCCCTCCTAAACGCCCGATACTCAACCAAGTTTATTTCTTGGCGAAGCAGCTCATGATGCTAGTCTTGCTTATAAACCACAAGAATCCGATGAAGCGAATGATAGCGAGGACAGCTGTAGCATACAAGAGGAACCGGAAATATCCGGGAGTTCGGGTTTGAGACGCTTTCTGTAGGATTGTTAGCAGAGAACTCATGATTAAAATTATAGCTGGATAGGTACTTACCCCTACTCCCAAAGACTCAAATTCGTCGCTTGTGACGAGAACGATAAGCAGCAAATTCGATAATATCCATGTGATAACTAGGCCAGTTCTAAAAGATTTGTATGAGTCTTCCGTATCCTTCTTTTCAACAACCTCCTCTTCCTCGACTGGAGCAAGGGCTCTGTATACGGTCTTCGCGAATAAGCTGTCGATGTCTTCCTGTTCCCTTTCGACCTCTTCAATCACGGGAGCGTCAGTCTTTTCATCCTTGATGACGTGCACAGACGGTAGAGCTGCCGTCTGGTCGGAACCCTTGGTACCCCAGGAAACGTCGTGCCAGTTGTTGAAAGCGTATACCATAACGATATTAATATAGGTAGACGCCAGCACGAGATACTGAGGGAAAGAGTGGAACATGTGCCAAGGGTCCAGGTAGATGAATGAAGCCACGTAGTTGAGACCGTATATGGTGATGATGGCGAGCAGGATAACACCTGCGACGCTACCGGCACCGAACATGCTCTCGAAGAACGCCCCAGCGCTGGAGGTATCTATCTGGTCAGCTAAGGGCGTTTGCAAGGCGCGGAATACGAGGTAAAAGGATAAGACGATGATATAGGTCTGTATTACTCCGAAAACGATATACGAGGCGATGTAGGAGTGCCGCGAACCCTTGGGACGATTTCCTAGAGCGAGGATGAACTGGATGAGGATAAAAACCAGGTAGAGGTATCGGAGCACCACGTTAACGATCGGCGTAGCGACATCACCGAACGGCCAGGCGCGGTATTGCGTCTCAGGAACAGGAGTGCCGACAAGCTCCATGATGACGACAGTAGTGAGCCAATAGGAGGCGAGAGAGAACCAACTGAATAAGATCTGAGCAATGTTGTATAGGAACTGGATATGCAGGAAGAACATCCGGATGATGCTGTGTCCGGACTTGTAGAGACGATTAAAGTGTATGAGAGAATACAGCGTCGCCGCGAAGGAGCCGTTTAGCCAACGCCGTCGCTGACTCAAAAATTCGGCGGGACCTATTCAATTTTAATGTTAGCAATTATTCCTGAGATCAAGGCTCAGACATTAGGGTAGATAACTGGCAGCAGCACTCGCCAGACAGAAATAATATATATAACAGGGAGAAAAAAAGGGGTTACTAACCTTCGGGTACATCAGTTTCTCCTTTGGCAGCTTTGATGTAACTCAAGTGCCACTTCTGGCCGGCCTTAGCGACGAGCTCAAAGCATAGAATTCTGTCCTCGGCAAGAAACATATTCTTCTTGAAAATGTTCATATTATCAATACCCTTCTTACCCAAGATCTTCGACAACGTGTGGTCGCCGTGGAAATATTGCTCCAGCGGCCGGCCCATAATAGCCCGAAAACGGTAAGCAGAAAAGGCGCCTGGTAACACGGTAACATAACCAAACGCACTCTCTAGGGGCTTATCCAAGACGTTCGAGATTTTGTATTCGAAATTTTGGATGGCTACTATCGGATTGAGCAGTTTTTTACCTCGCCTACCCAACATGGCGTGGATCTCACCGCAGGCGCCGCCGAGGTCTTTATCGTTATAGAATCCCTCCCACAACGCGAGTAGGGATTTTGGACTGGGCTTGGTTCCGGCGTCGATGAGGATCACGACCTCGGGATTTAGGATGCGACCAAAGGCGTTAAACAGCCATCGGTGTGAGTTTATCTTCTTGCTATTCTTTTGCTTTAAGCAGAACAGTAGCTGTACGGGAGGTATGTTGGTAGGATCGTTTTCTTTCGGTAGGATGAGTTGCTGATCAGGGGTGATGGAGATTTGGCTCGTAAACTCGAATATGTGGGAGACCGTTTCTTTGCCGTCGATATCCTTCTTGAGAACGCCGTCCTGGTAAACTCCCATCGTTCCTAGAACGTCGAGCACGCTCTTATCAGCTTTCTCAATACCGTCAAATATCAGGCATACTACTATCTTCTGCCATGCCGGTCCGCTCTTTGTCCAAAAGGTCGACTTTTTGAGTCTTACTATATCGCGTACGTTTTGCATCACGCTATGCATCGTTCTGGCGAAGAGGATCTTATCTTCGTTATAATAGGTGATGGCTATGACCAGCTCGGTGTGCCTGTTGTACATGCGCGCGCGTAGGTCGTACCCGTTCATGATGGTGAAATCATCCGGGTCACACGTAGCCGCCGTGTACCTCATTGTTCTAAATTCCTCCAAATCTCGATACTGAAGTTCCGTAGCGTTGCGGATAGGAGTCGGTACCGGATATTCTGTGCTCAGGACGGAACCCTGGAGACCTTGCGCCAACTTGATCTTGCGAGTATTGCGACGTCGAATCCCTCCTCCGCTTAAGCTCTCGATTGGAGCCTGCTGTCGCTCCGCCCATGTTTCCAGCTCGTTATAAGTCGACGGAGGTCTACCATAGCCGAAGCCGTTACCGAAGTTATGCTGCTCGAAATCGTCTGCGCCATGGGTCACGGTCGCGGCGGAAGGCAGGTGATAGACTCCTCGGGCAGCAGTATCGCCGCTATATACGGATGTAGGGGAAAGAGGGCGGTTAGGTCCCTCCGTATCGTAACCGTGCAGCGAGTAAGGTCGATCGCCATACGAATCATGCTCGGGGTAGTGAAGATTATCCTTTACGATCTAGTTTAGAAAAGCTGTTTGCTTCTATAGCTACGGAATGGGGGTTTGACTTACAGTTGAGTCTCCGGGAATATCCCGCAGCTCGTACCCTCTAGAATAGGGTTGGTTATCTGTCGGATCCATCTTAGGATCTCATTAAAATATTTCGTCGAGTCGTTAAAAAGATCGATGTAAGAGGTAGTCTTGTCAAGCTAACAGAATTAGATTACGTAGACAAGTTGAAGTTGCAGATCAATATAACAAGTAGTTAGAAATGAGACTTCGCGAAGTTTCTTATGGCAAATATCTACGACAAAAAGCAATATGGACGAACTAAGAAACTACCTCGGAACAGTCAAAGAGCGAAAGGACGTGTGATAAGAGAATGAAAGCATGAAAGACCAAGTCGAAACGTGACAAATGGCACCATAAAAGTATTGTTAAAAAGAATCCTAACTAGATTTTAACGTAGGTATCCTTGATTTCTGAATGTACATGCTCCATTTATCCTAGCGAATCAAGATATTTAAATATATTTAATATACGTAATATATATATGTTTGTTACTTCGGAAGACAACCCAATCATGATTATTGCATACGAACAGTTGATCGTTGGAGGCTGAGTACCGGGTTTCGAATTATCGACGGCCGGGTCGATTGGTCAAAGCCTTTGGTGGCTGTGACTTATACGAGATCCAAAAAGCGGGACCATTTATGCGTCCGGCCGTCTTGGCACCCGAGAATCCCGAGGATCGCGATCCGGGTACTAATAATAAGCCTTGTCGTTCCACAGTCCCGGAAGATTATCACGTTAAGCTTATAAGCCTGTATGTAAATCTATTGAAACAATAATCGAATAATTGATTGTAACGATTTTTTTATAAGTGTCTTGAATAATTAGCATTAACTAGTTGATATTAAACCTCTTCATTTATGTACATTTAATGCTCCTTGCAGGTTTAGTATTGAAATCATCAAGCCAAGATTTGCCAGCTGTAAGCTGTAAGACCCAGAATGCATCCCTTAGTACAAAAGTACTTGAACATGTCAGGGGTTACTTTACATACATGTAAGTAATGGATGTACATAATGTATTCGCATGTAGATCTAAAGCACTGACGCTAGTATTAAATATTATCATCCACAACATCCACCACAACATCCACCACGTTGAGACACCAGATCTATTATCTTCTATTGGTTTCGCTTTGCATCCAAGAACGAATCACCACCAAAACATTTTCAGTAATCACACCATCAAACTTGACGATATGTAGTCTCATGACAAGCGCATGCGACGCGAAAAGAAATTTAATATTACATGACGACCTATAAATCTATCCGAGACTGTGTCACTGGTATTTCTACGTTGTTTGTTCTTGGCCTGTGGGTGTCCCGGGGTTAACCTTATAATAGTAAATATAGACCGTCTTCGTTAACACAGTGCCAAGTACATTATTTATGCCAGCAGTACTGCTACATAGAATCAACTATAAAAATGATGATAGGAAGAGTAAGTCGACCATCCGTATGCACCTAGCCCTGATGACATTACTGTGTAAGCTTGCGTTCTGACCGAGAGTAAATCTCTGCTGCTTTCGGGGTAGTCCGTCTGCTACTAATAGAATTCAATATCATCTCCATTTCCCCAAGAGATAGCACCTCGGTGTACTATAATTAAAAAGCACCAGCTTCTTTACGGGGACAGGTTGGTATTATTTCAGTGAGCTACGGTGCTACATCCAGGATTCGACAGCCAAGTATTATGACGCCATTACACAGTTAAAGATGCAAGAAAGATGGCCCACCCGGGCTACCCAATGAGCAAAGACATACTGGTGGTATTAAACCCTCGCAAAATACATTGGAATCATCATTTTTCTGATACTCCGAGTATGCATTGAGTACCTAGGTACTCAATATAAAAGTAAGTACCTGACTCCTGCAATAGGCTATTAAGGTGAACAAGAATATCGACCTAGTCTAAAGCAGCATAGCTTGAAATATTGCAGTCAAGTTGCAATAGTAGAAGTAAAAGTTAATCCACCAACCAGATTTAACTTGGGGTTTTTCAATTTTTTGTTATTCCTATAATCGACCTCCTCCTTCAGTTATCGGTTCATACGTGTAGACGGTTAGCTCTAGTGATTGCTATAGGTCTCGATCAGCATTATATATCATGGACTGCATGTTAAACACTCGCCAAGAATTCAAAGAAACCATAAACGATACCATAAATCTGTAAAGAGTCAGTCATATAATATCTATACCGGAGCTATTAGTTCAGCGCTACAAGGTGCTAATAAGTTGACTACGGAAGCCTCCTGTTTAGAGGAATAAAATTTAGATCTCTTCGGCAGATGCTTCTAGACCAGATTAATTTGTTTCGATACCAAAATAGAAGCAACGATATGATAGGAGAAAAGCTTTGCTGGCATCGCTAGGAGGAGATAGCCCCTATTTAGCCAACACGATACGCGATTCCTCGAGTATCTTAGCTCCCGCATCGAACTATGCGCCGGCCTTCCTGCACTATTATCCTAGTAGCAGCGACAGAGCCTCTAAGCCTATAAGTGTCCTACCTAACTTGGGTTACATGCCTGTTAAAATGCTACACTCACCATATTAGAACTATTGGCATCGCAGAGCGAGCAAGGTGGCGCACGAGGATTTGACTTGGCATCGCTACACCCAGCCTCAAAATGCATCGAGTCAATGATACGTAGGCGAACCGGGGATACTATGTGCCTGATTTCTGCGCCACCCCGAGGCCTGTTATAATAGGGCTGTGTTTTATGCTTTAGGGGACTCCTTAGTTGCTTACTTGGACTAACACTTACCACCAGCGCTACCAAGCTATCTCGGTGGGTAGTCTGAACTTTTCTTGGCGATGGGCTCAGCCTACGACTAAACTCCGATACGAGATCGTCCGTCGTAGGTAGTGCTGAATATTCTGCTTAAGCAATCCCAGGTCGATGTCGAAAAGTCTGCCATCGATGTGTTATATTAGGATGCGTCTGCCGATCCTAATGCGAGACCCAACGTGAGCCTCGGGAACAACCCCTAGGTAGACATGTCAGCTCAGCTTACAGAATTCGATCGTCGTGGTGACGTCAAACTTCGAATCGGACAGGATCACGATTCGGCGGCCGTCGTCTTCACCGTCTGTTCCAGGTCTCTCGCGCGCGTGTCGCCAGTCTTTGACCGTATGTTGTACGGAGATTTCTCAGAAGGGCGATCCAATCAAGCCAAGGATGCCGACGACTGGATCGTAAACCTCCCCGAGGACAAGCCTGCCGCGATGGCGCTGCTTCTTTCCATTACGCACGCACACTTCGATCAGATACCAAAGACGCTTTCCGTCAACGAGCTGTACGATTTGACTGTCTTGTCGCACTTTTACGATGCTACACGCACCCTAGGCCCATGGTCAAATAAGTGGATGGCGACGGTAGAGAAGTTGGAGCGAGAATCGCACGAGCTAATGCCAAAGATATTATGGATTTCGTGGGAGTTAGGTTGGAAAAATACTTTCTCGGCTTTGTCTAGGAGGATGGTTTTGGAGTGTGAGGCGGCGATATTTTCTACCGGCGAGGATCAAATTCAATATCCGCCTGATATCATCGGTAAGACTCATTCCAGAAAAGGACCCCCTCTCCCCTCCGTTAGACAGTTGGACTAATGGTGTCATAGAACGTATCTCGACGATTCGTGTCCAGACGCTTCGAGCTTTACTAGGTATATTTGGGGAGATGATTGAAAACCTTGCTGTGGTCGACGAGAAACCAAGGTGGTGCCGTCACGCTGTTTGGATGGGCCCTCACAGGTGCGAGTCGATGATTCTCGGTTCTATAACCTTCTGCTTGATAAGGGCAGGTCTTTGGCCGCTCCCCGACGCCGATGAAGTAGAAGAGAGTGTGATGGCTATTTATTCGAAGATGACCAATCTCATTATTCACGATATTGGTGCGGCTGATAATTCTCGGGTCGATCATAACGAGTGCAATCCAGGACCATTCCTACTCGACCGAGTTCAGACGGTAATGGGCGAGATATCAAATCCTGTAACTACTCTCCATGCAGAATATATGGAGAAACAGATGCGAAAGTTAAACTGACAATTTATCGAGGCTGATTACGATGCGCTGTTATTAGCAAAGCGATTCGAATTCGTTCGTGGTTGATATGTCGATGAACCTTTGATCAGTATCGCAAAGTCGACCAGAACGACAAGGACGAGTTTTTAGGTGTCTAAATAGTAAGTAAGTCTGGACTGTCTGATTAAGAGGGACAGGATAGTTTACACACAACGTTATATGGACTTAGAGGTTCTATCGCTACTTAAATATACCTACTTAACACGTGAGCAGTTATAGCTTACTACGGCCAACCTCGAGACTATTTTAGATATAGTTGCTTGAAGCATCGCCGTCTTCTACAAGTTAGTCAAGCTCAAATTTATTAGCTTAGGTTAATCTAGTACGGGGCACATTATTCAGGGGGTTGGATAGAACTTAGCAAGATCCGGTCTCTTATGGTAAACCAGCGCGTTCGTCGAATTATCTACCTATATACCGAGGTTCGGGAGAGTCCATTCGGGAACGGTTCGGCCAAACTTTTACCTAAAGGCTACATAAAATAGACTGACCGATGAGCAGATATACAAGGAGCAAATATACAAGGAGCTATTAGTACATGAAAAGCGTTTGCAAGGTCGACTGCGGATTGTGATCGTACATCGTAATATTCGTCGGATGCGAGGCAATAGACGAGCGCGATTGCTTAGATACTTGGTCGGGGGTCGACTTCGAGCATTCTTGAACCAACTTCTGCTATATTGCTAAACTCTCTTGCGGATTCCCTCGTCGTCGAGGATCAATTCCTTATTCCACGCCTTTGCAACCTCCTGGTGAAAGTGGCTAGATCCTTCGTAAGTCATTATGCGACGTACATGGTCTAAGGCGGAGACACCTTCGTTGTTCTTTTGTTGAGTGTCGGCGCCGCCCTCGAGCAGGGCAATGACGCACTTAGCCGACTTCTCACCGGTCAAATCCGCCGGCTGATTCGAATCTCCGAGCAACCCGATGCTCTCGATAGTTTGGCAGAAGATGCTCAAGAAAGAATTTCCCTCGTCGTCGCAAAATTGGAGGGGGAGGTCGTGTTCAAGTAGGAGTGCTATCACCTCCGGGTCGTGTCTTCGGCAAGCAGCTCGGATATAGCGCAGTTGCACTATCTTTTTTTGCGGGTGCCAAATATCGCATAGAGACGAAGGAACCGGGTAGCTCAGCAAAATATTGACGCGACGACTAGGCGAATTGTTGATCGCCCATTCCAGCGGCGTCGTTCCCCAGAAGGAGCTTGCTATAGCAGATGCCGACGTGGGGTCTTCCGGTTTGAGATGCATGTGTATATTGGCTTCTTTGGTGAGTAAGATGCGGATCGCATTGTCGTGACCTCGCGCTATACATAGATGCAAAGGTGTTACCATGGCCGTTGGTAATACCACGTTAGGCTTTGCGAAAAATAGTACTAAATTCAATATGTCGCATTTATCAAGGGCAGCCAGGCTTGCGCAGCAGGCATTTTCTAGATAGGCGGTGCGCTTCGCTATGTTCGCATGAAAGTCGGCGTGGGTGCGGATGGTATAGATAATATCCTTCCTGCGGCCTACGATTGCGAGGTCCATGGCATCAAAGCCCCGATGGCCAACCATGGCGCCGTTCTCGAAAAGCAGTCGAACCACACGTGAGTGATCTCCTAGAATAGCTTTGACTATAGGAAAGTCGGTCCCAGAGGGTTGATTCGGATCGGCTCCCCCCTTTAGAAGCAGCTGGGCAATCTCGAAATTACCGATCCCGCAGGCTTCCGCCAAAAAGATCTCGGGGTTAGCCGGCATTTGAAGCCGAATCATAAACAGGGCAAACTCGTCATGTTTCTTCTTGATGCAGTTGAGAAGACGGTTCGGGTCCCTTAGCAGACCGTACGATTGCGAAAATTTGGAAAGATAAGGTATAGCCATGGCATTTCCGACCTTCATAGAATTCTCTATGATGTATTCCATCTCTACTAAAGTAGGCTCTCTGAGTCCGTTCTTCACAAGCAAATCGGCAACACGATGGTTTGGTTGGCTCATTGCGTCTCCGAGGAGTTTGAAGCTGTCCTTATCGTCCAGCGTACCAGGCTTCGCATGTTTGAGAAGCAGTTTCACTATTTGCAGGTTGGGACAGGATCCTAAGGCCATCCTCAGAGCTCGGCCGATATGGTCAAAACTCTCCGGCTTATGGGTGAGTAGTGTCGTTATAGTACGTAGCTGAGCCTTCTCAGCCGCGTAAAACTCCATGATTTTGTCTCCACAAAGCCTCATCAAGGCAGTATTACCGTCACCATCCGTGGCTTCGACATCGGCACCCGCGGAGAGTAAGGTCTCGACAACCTCGTTGAGACCATATATGGAAGCAAGCATGAGCGGGGTTATGACCTTACTTATGTCACTTGACTTGGTTTCCAGACATCGAACCTCTATGTTAGCACCTGCTTTAATAAGTGCTCGAATGACACTGATTCTGAAATTCTCCTGATCAAACTCTCGCCCGTGGCTAAGACGGAGAGATGAGTGTGGGAAGGGTGATTTCTCATTTTTGCAACAGCTGAATAGCAGTACCGAAACGGCATCAGTATCCTCGAGTTTCACAGCGCAAGATTTCGTCAAGTCCACCCCCAATTTGATAAGTCGAAGGGCGTCGTAAAACCAGCCATGGAGGCAGGCATGTTCGATAAGGCTGTGTGAGCCCATTTTGATGTTTAGCGAAGCCCCATTCTTTACTAGGAATTCGATAGAATGCCAATTATTAGCGAGGTACGCGTATGCCATAGGTGTGTGGCCGTTGGAGTCTCGGGCGTTGATATTTGTCTGATGCCCTTCGTCCAGGAGGAGTCGGATCATAGAAACATTGTTTCTCCAACAAGCTGTATGGAGAGCAGTGATGCGAAAATGATCCGAAGATACGCGGTTCGAGGCTCCGTGAGATATTAGAAGTCTCGCTATCGATTCGCGCCCATGACAGATTGCCGTATGCAAAGGCATCCAGTTAGGCAGAGTATGGGGGGGCATTTCTTCGGATATCATTGCTCTAGATATCAGTGCCTCGTTTGCCTGGTTTGGTTGGAGACAATTGCAAACTCTTCTAGAAAGTGTGTCCGTCTTGGCCTTGTGCTTAAGTAAGAGTTGGACGATATCCTCTCTTCCCATACTCACAGCAACGTGTAAAGGAGTCCAACAGTATGGTTGCAGGGGCTGCTGGGCATATTGAGAGGGCTGCTGTGCGTATTGAGAGGCGTATTGGGGAGGATAATGGGGGTAGTGGGGGTAGTGGGGGTGATGGGGGTGTTGGGGCAATAGCACTCCGTCAGACTTCTCATCCCGAATCAACTCTATCTGGGTATATCGGCTGATAGAGTGGAAAGGCAATGCACGGATTGACAGTCTGTTTCGTGGCGAGGATATGGTAATGTTAGGACTGGCGCCAGTTTCAAGTAGGTATCTTACGACGTGTACGTGTCCCTGCTCGACAGAGTAATACATGAGTTCGTGGTTGAGTCTTTGCCGACTATATAAATGCGTTATGAGTGCCGCATGGAAGCCGCGGCAGGTCCTCGTGAGAGAAGACAGGTCTCCATCGTCGAGATGCGTTCCCAGAATGTAGGCCACATCGACAGGGATTTCTTTGAGTGGAAAAGACATTTTGATTGATTCCATGCCTCCCGCACCAGTCACCAATAAGTTCTGACGAAACTGGATAAGTTTGAATGTGTAAAGTAGAAGATTGGAATCGGCGACGGGAGCCTTGAAGAAATATGAATTTACTTATTGTTTACGATGCATCAATCGGCAACTACGTTCGTGGGGGCCAACGGACCGGCAAGTGCTAAGCGTAACATTTTAACAGCCCTACAGAGTTCAGCTGCGGCAGGAACGAAAGGGAAAGGCAGGAACGAAACGGAAAGCGGAGCGCCTAACTATTAGGTGCAGCAGCTGAGCAAATGCAGGGCTAGAGTTACAGCAATTGGAAGTTACCAGTGGGTTAGGTTAAGTGCCTAAACGTTACATGTAGGTACGTATCTTATAAGTGCAAGTAACCTAGGATTGGCAGGACCTATGGACATGACGGGTGCTAGGGCCGGGCCGTTGTGACAAAATATACGTAAGTACCTACGTAAATCATAGCAATGGCGTATATAAGACATAAGTTAAGAGGTACCTACCTACCTTAGGTACCTTACATATCGGCAAATATTCAAATATTGCTAGTACCTAAGGTGATCCATGTCACGGCAGAAGCACAGTCAAGGCATCAAGGGCAAATAGGCAGGTACCTTATAAGTAGAGGTAGTCTCGTATTCCTTAGGAATCAGCAACATACTTTAATAAATACAAGACTATTTCAACAAATGTAGTTATTATTGAGATATGAAAGTTCAGGACCTACCTAATGTAGAAAGTTGATAAAGGCTCTAATATTTAACAAGGATGTAAGAGTACCTACCTATATATCACAGCCTTTATACCTTAGGTACCTACGTTTCTCCTCCACTTATACATCTTCAACTTAATCGATGTGGTTTATAGAAGACATAAAGAAATTTCACGCTGTTGAATTGCATATATTAAGAAATAAAAAGGTAGCCTCTTCTAACAACTATAGTACTAACTTAAAAATCAACTGCATCTTTCTTAGGCTACTACAAATGCGAGTGTAAAGATAGGAGCTTAGACTTAGTAGTTTGCTGAATTCCCTAGACTTTCAAAAGAAAGTGATATCATTAGTAACTCTAGAATACTTACATTAGCTATGTACCTTGGGTATTTACACATATCAACCACCACTGAAGTGGCAAGTTTAGCCTACATCTCCTTATTACGATATTGTAACCTTTGAAGGGTTAAACAATATGGGTCATCGTAAAGCAAAGCCTGACTATTTAGTTGCATAGCAATGAGGAATTCGTTAATTAATAGCGATTCGCTTATTTTATATTATACAAACTTCACTTCTTTAATATCTAGGTACATGAGTCACTTCCCTTTCTTGGATAGAAAGTGCAAATAATAGTATTAGGCATGTAATTATTCTGAATAAAATACTTGAGTTCGTTTAAAAACTATAAGTATAACACTAGGTTAGGATAATGATGATAGGTACTACACGTAGCCTTAAAATTGGAGTCAAGTTTCATAGGTACATGTAAACACCATGAAAGCATCGCATACCTTAGGTACCTATGTTTGCAAGAACTACCAAAGTTGCCTAATAGAACGGCTTTTAAATCCACTTAGTTACCTTATTCAAAGCTCGCTTATCTTGCCTTGTGCACGGACGAGATCGTTGTTCTCTAGATAAGGGTATATCTAACCTGATCATCTTTCTTGCATCTAAGAAATGCGTTTTTGAGATCAGTCATTTATCTTTGAATGCAAGCTTTAAGCTCGCATCTCTCAGGATAAAACCTTAGGACCAACTTATTCCGCGTTCTCTCCCACTTCTTATTCCAGAATCGATGACACGGAAAAAGACGAGCAAACACTCCAAGATGGCCACCGATCTTGCCCAAGACATTTCTCAGAAGACTTCCGGTCTGGTACAATCTAGCAACCACCGAGATCTGCTCGACATTGTCGACTCTCTTAGGTCTCACGGTGTCAGTCACTATGTAGACCTACCTCAGATCATCGTATGTGGTAGTCAATCATCCGGAAAAAGCTCCACGCTTGAATCGCTTTCCGGAATCGCTTTCCCCACTGCGGAAGGCCTATGCACCCGCTTCGCTACGGAATTGATTCTCCGCCGCGGCGATAAACCGGAGATTAAGGTGCACATCCAGCCCAGCGCCAACAGGAACAAGAATGAGAGAGCTCGCTTGTTAGCATTCACCGGAAAGACTAAGGATCAAAATGACTTCCCGAGGATTATCGAAGCCGCCAAAGGTGCCATGGGCCTAATTGGAGAGGGATCCAAAATCTTCAGTACGGATATCCTGCGGATAGAGAGCACATCCCCGACCGCGCCCAACTTGACTCTGGTTGACTTGCCAGGCCTATTTGGTGCTTCCGACAAGAATCAGTCAGACGATGATGCTGCTTTAGTCCAAGACCTTGTAATGTCATATATGCGACAGCGCCGTAGTATTATACTCGCCGTTGTCGCGGCTGATAATCCGTTTGCTAACCAGCCGGTGACTAAATTTGCTCGGGAGATCGACCCGTCTGGTCTGAGGACGCTGGGTCTCATCACGAAGCCTGACAAGATTGACAGCGACTCCGATAGTGAGCGGTATTATGTAGAGCTGGCACAGAATCTGAACGTGAAGCTTCATCTCGGCTGGCATGTTCTACGCAACAGGAGCCATGTCACTGCCAACGACACGATTGGAGAGAGAGACAAGAGAGAGTCGGAGTTCTTTGCCGGCTCTGTTTGGAACACCCTCGACAAGTCAAATCTTGGCGTAGGATCTCTAAGGTCTCGGTTGCGCGACATTCTGTGGAAGCAGATCCAGACCGAGCTTCCAGGCGTCAAGACCGAGGTACAGGCCGGAATTAAGGACTGTAAGAGCAAGCTGGCGCTGCTTGGAAAAGCTCGCAGCACCACAAGAGAGAAGCATACATATCTCCAGCGGATCAGCAGCGTCCTATTCAAATTGGTCCAGGCAGCCATCGACGGGATCTATGCCGATCAATTTTTTGAATCTTTCCCCGGTCAGCAAGACGCTTTCGAGAGACGTTTGCGGGCGCATGTGCAGAAGATTCTCAGTGACTATGCTGAGAAGATGCGCGTCGACGGTCACGCCCTAGAAATCGTCGAAGACGATCTACAGCCGACTAGAATATCGCTGAGAAGATATATGATGAGAGAAGATTACCTCGAAATAGTCAAGGAGCTCATGGTAGAATGCCGAGGCCGCGAGCTTCCGGGAACGTTCAATCCCCTTGTCGTTGGTGACCTATTCAGTAGGCAGTGCAAGCCTTGGGAGTTAATCACGCAGAATCTTGTCGAGCAAATTCACGAGGCCGCGGCTAGCACGTTCAACAGGATTATCACGGAGATCTGCGATAATAATACCAAGACCCGCCTCATGAAGCATCATGTCCAGCCGGCGCTGCATCGCCTCCGGGGTGATCTGAAGGACAAGGTTGACGAACTGCTAAAGCCTCACCTATCTATTCATCCCATCACCTACAACGACTACCTGACGGAAACGGTGCAAGATATCCAGACCAAGCGTCATGACCGGAAGTTTGATGACCTATCGAGCCAAGCCTGCAAGTATACAAGGGCGACTGCACCGGCCTTAGCAAACAATGTGGCTTTGCAACACCTTCTCTCCCACTTGCAACAAGGGATGCGGCCCAATGTTAAGGAATATTCCGCCTCGCTCGCGGCTGATGTTGCTGCGGCGTACTATCAGGTATACCTACCATGTTTTGTTATTCTATGAGCTGTCAACATTTCAGACTGGATGCTAATAATCGATAGGTTGCCTTGAAAAAGTTCATTGACGATGTCAGCGTCAATGCCATCGAGACATGCCTAATTCAATGCCTACCGAACGTGTAAGTATACCACCAAACTACTAAATACTAATGATAGTTATACTAACTGTTGATACTTCAGGTTCTCTCCGGACGTTGTGTGGGATCTCTCTGACGAAGACGTCGAGAAGCTGGGATCTGAGGATGACGGAACTGTCAAGGAGCGCACTGAACTTGCGAAGAAGCTAGATGTTCTCGAAACTGGTCTGAAGGACTTGGATGCGTTCACGGCGCGATCCAGTACCCACGCGGTAGTATGAGAATAGTTCTAGAGTTGAGGGGATCCTGCTGAAGAGACGAGACTGATATCTCTAGTAAGCTTTGGCGTGTTTATCTATTTAGGTAGTCCATAGCCCAGGTATGTAGTCAATGCAGGACCAGTAGGAAGGTGATTCGTGCCTGTTTCTGTCTCTTATGAATTTCCTCTTGATCAGAGAGCTAGGATAGTCAACATCATAAGTGGGACTACCTATCAAATATACCATCCTACGTGCTCTTCATGTTCTAGAGAAAGATAGAAATATTGCGCTCCTATTACTTCTTAAACTTTCAGCCTCCTAGTATGTAATTAGATCAAATCTTTAAAGCCCTATGATTCGATACTATGGAACCAGAATTTGTATGCGGTTCTATTGCGCACTGTATCTAAGTGGATATAAAAGCTTCAAAATTCTTAGTGTATTGTAATCACCGTCAAGTCTTGCGCTACTTGATAAAACGCTATTATCGAGGCGCACGTCTTCCCTATCTAGGATTTGACGGATGCTAACGCGAGTCTGCTGTCAGGTATCTTCTCTGTGCCGCTCGTTTATAGATAGAGTAAGTACTGAACCCAACTGTAGAGTCCAGGTCTTATACGAAAATTGCCGTGTTCGTGATTTCTACTTGATACGGACAGGTAGTCGCTTTATATGGGCCTATCCGACGATTTACAGATCTAAAGGCTGGTCTCTTCTGGTTCGTTCCTGCAGAAAGTATGCGAGACATGGGTATTCTACGCACTCGAGAGCATGGCAAAACATGGATAGAGCGTCTGTTCCTTGCACAGGCATCTCTAGTACCGGGCCAGCGTGACCGCTATCTCGGAGCCGTCGTTCTAGAGAAGGCTTTCGCGTCGAGCTACGCTAGAAACTAAGTCTTTAGTCTAGGTTGTCTTGGTGGAAGAACCGACAGCCTGGATATGCCATGTATATAATTGCCCGAGGAAGATGGACCCGGGCTCTGCTTTTACCATCCTTCCCCGCAAGTTATAATGTCTGGTTTCGACTTTCGATCCTATTGGGACCGGCGGATGCTTGATCCGGTCGCGCCATGGCTGTCATGCTAACGATGGTCTATTTTACTTGCTAGGGGCTAACTGAAGCTGTTATATGATTGAGAGAACTTGTGGCTCGATAGTAAATTTCTAATCTTAGGGGTAACGTGAAGGAGAAGAGACTCCGAAGTATTTCTATGATATTTGTAAACAATAACTTGAAGCTATTGTAAGGATTCGCTTCTATGTAGACCGAATGTAAACAATCGTATTAGGAGTATCTTACCCCAATGACGTTGCCGAATATGTCTCCGTTGATGCGTGCCGAAGCTTTAATTAAGCGAAGATGAGGCGCAGGGAGGATATTTTGATTGGACGATCAAAATGGCGCCATAACAATTGCGTCCATGGCGCGGGTAGAAAAAGTGCTCGTGCGTAAGAGAGAACAGACAGGAGGGAACAGACATTAAACCAGCATCTTTTACAGGGAAGAGAAGAGTAATGAGCTGATGATGAGGAGCTATGTAAGTTAGCTACCTAAGGTATGTAAGTTGATGACTATTCATAAACTAATAAAAGTAATCAATGATGATAATAACTAGCTAATTAAAGCAATAATCATAACTAACTAGTAGATATCTCATACCTCGTATACAAGTTCCGACGATAAGCTCGAATTCATGCTACGGCAGAGTCACATATCTGCATGTCATCCCGTTACTCTGTTGGAATACTACCCAAAATTGAGCCAAGTCAGGTATGAAAGGAGCACTATTGAACAATATCGAGAGGTCGTACTCTCATATGATTATCTCATATGATTATACGGGAACCGCAGTTGTTCGGGCCGGGAAAGAGATGAAGATGGATATCTTACGTTTGATATATATCGACAACCGAACATGTGAAATTACGTCTGATGGAAAGATCATCATCCTGCTACTACGTATACACATAGGTCAACATCGATGAGGCATGTTCTCGTTTCATCTTTGTCAAAATAATATCCAGACAGCCAGGTCCTTAACGCGGGCAAAGAGAATATTTACTTGGCTAAACCCCTAACGGAGCTATCAACCTTGCTCTACATTTCTGTATATACCTTGCTGTATGTATGTGCGCGGCGTCCAAAGGACGGGAAACAAATCAGAAGATTAGCTAGACCGGGTCCCCCTTGATAGCTTATATGGCTTGGCCCCTGACATCCCTGGTCTTCCCCGTCCCCAGTTCGGCGGTTCCTGCTGATCCTGATGAATCCCGGTGAGAAGCTCCACTGCTGGATCGATCTCCTGAGGATATGAAAGTTTAAACACTGTGATATAGGTAGGCTTCAATCTTAAGAGTTCAATCTTAAAGCATACGTTCCTGAAATCTTCTTGAGGTGTTTTACTACGTATTTATGTAGTAGACCTGTAGACGATAATACGACGTCTGTTAACCGGGAAGTTCTTATATCGAAGCCGTCGATAAAAAAGAAAGTAGACGACCGGGCCGCTATCACATTCCTTCGTTCTAGATCCCTAGCTACGGCTTTTGCTTATTGCCTATCCGAGCTATCGGTCTGCATACTATACTACAACACTATACTACATCTTGTCAAGTATCTTGTTAAGCTATCGCCATACGAACCATACTTGGATGCGACGTACACGACTATGTATACGTCTCTAGGTAGCAATGCATCATGCAACTAAGGTTATTCTACTTATTTTCTTTTGCTTGTGTCAAATTCCTTAACTCTTCTCCTTTTTATTTAGCTTCGAGTTGATGTTTGAAGACAAACAACCGGATAACGAACAAGCATCAACAGCGTAGAAGCATCAACAACGTAGCAGCATCGCTCATCTTATTCTCTCTTATTCAGGCAGATTCAACCCCTGAACTTTTTTATTATTTATTTAAATTTTTTGTCTTCTTCTCTTCTATCTTCTCCCCCACAACCGTCTTTTTTTCTCCACCCTCTTTGGCTGGAAGCTGTCCGATTGCCCTGTCGAAATAAGGTACCATTAGAAACTACAAGGAATAGTGAGCTTATGTAGGTAGCTATCTTAGCTGTCTTGGCTAGGGTACCCTATATGAGGTAGACCTGCCCAAAATCGAATAAATGGCCCCTCCCCCTTTATAATACCTTAGCCCTTGGCTCTTAGCCAACATTGAACCTTTAGCCCACCTTAGCCAGTACCTTAGCTTTCATAGTTACGGGTACCTACCCCTCCTGTCTCTCCCAGTCCCTTCCCCCCGTTCGTGCTGCTGATCCGGTCGATCTGATTGCTTAATCTGGTTGACTTTCCCGGCTATACTTACACCCAAACTTGCTAACTAGCCAACCACGTACTTCCAACCTAAGACAGAAGAAAAAAAAAATTAAAATAAAAAAAATAAGAACGTACAATAAGGAAAAAAAGGGCGTTCGTCACGCATGAAAAGACCAAGAAGAGTGGAGGGACACAGCAGAGATAAGAAGCAAAACAAAACAAAACAAGAAAAAGCAATTGGGCATACATACATACCACATACCTCATACATACGTAACGTGTACATACATTACACGACCTATAACCAGTATGGGTCTCTTTTCGAGAAAACCTAAGACGCCTAAGCCAGTCAATGCTTCTGCTTCCAACGGGGCAAACGACACGGCCAGTTTACACTCGCAAAACTCCAACATCAAAGGTTCATCAGCCAGCAATTCTAGAGTACAATCGCAATCTTACAGCAATCATCGCGCATCAGCCGGCAGCGTACCTCCGACTCCTATGACCCCGATGACTCCCATGACACCGCATCTCATGCCTAGAATCAACCTACCTAAGCCTCCGGATCCGGTCCTCGATGCCGCCGGTTACCTCAGGAGTCTAGGCTCCGTCCGCGAGCGGTCTAAGATCGTGACCGACAAGGCCTTGCGCAACAATCTTAACCATTTCGACGTAGATATGGCCAAGTTTCCCGACGTCGCTACGTTTGTGTGCGGCATCATCAAGGTCAGACCGACTCTACCGTCCAGTTCGCTGACGTGCAGCTACTATTATATATATATATATATATGACGAATTTGCTGACTAGGAAAAACAGCGAGATTACGACGCCCCGTTTTCGTCGATCCCGCCCCATGGTCGGTACCAGCACTTCTGCGCCGGCGGGCGGGATCGGGTCGCCAACCTACTAGCGACCTTTCCCGACGACGTCGATAGTACCGAGAAGTGTCGCCGCCTAATCGATCTGTTCCTCGTCAGTGTGCTGCTCGATGCCGGCGCTGGTACCGTATGGAGCTTTAAGAGTGCCGAAAATGGTCGCATCTACAGGAGATCTGAGGGTCTAGCCATTGCGAGCTTGGAGATGTTCAAGGCTGTACGTATGCGCTCGTGCGCCATGAATCTGCACCGGTGGGTGTTAGTTTGAATGGAGATTTCGCTAACATCGTATTCCCGAATAGGGGTTGTTCTCTGGAAATCCGAACAACAAGTTCCAGGTGGATAAGGAGGGTCTTCAAACATTGACCGTTGAGCAGTTAGCTAAGGGCATGCAATCACGTCCGGGCAACGAGATTGCTGGTCTAGAGGGTAGAGCACAGCTCCTGATACGACTTAGCGATGCGCTATCAGAGAAGACGGATTTCTTCGGTGCTGATGGACGGCCAGGTAATATGGTCGGTATGTGATTAGCCTCTTATCCTATGCGTTATGCCTTTTGGTGTCTTGAATCTTTTATTGCTGATATTAGCTAACTGGTTATGAATGCTCAGACTACCTTCTAGCGCATCCCACAACACAGGCTTCTTCGTCTCCTATCGTAGTCCTTCCGGTACTTTGGAACGTGCTTATGTCCGGACTCGCTCCTATCTGGCCCCCCTCTCGGACGGCTATCGACGGCGTCTCTCTGGGTGACGCTTGGCCGTGCTCCGCGATGCCGCAGCACACACCTCCGCCCACCTCCCCGGGGTTTTCTCCGTTCCCTAATTCTCAGTCAAGCTCGGGCGCCGCTCCTTGGGAATCCATACTGCCTTTCCACAAGTTGACGCAATGGCTCACGTACTCTTTAATGCAACCCATGCAGAACATCCTTAGAATCCAGTTCGCCGGCACAGAACTCCTAACGGGGTTACCCGAGTACAGAAACGGAGGCTTATTCATCGACCTTGGCGTATTGACGCTTAAAAACGACGACCTCGAACGTGGCCTACAGCACTATAGCGACTACTGCCGACGGACAGGCTCGAATGGTATCGAGGTAGCGCCTATGTTCGAGCCGAGCGACGACGTGATTGTCGAGTGGCGAGGTGTTACCGTAGGCTTTCTCGATATGCTCTTGATCGAAGTCAACAAGACCCTTAGGAAGGATCTCAACGGTGGCGAGCTAACGCTAGCACAGCTGCTCGAGGCGGGAAGCTGGAAGGTAAGCTATAGTCTATATGGCTATCATAATGTCTATATCGTATAATTATTGGACAAGAGCTAATATAATATGTAGGGTGGTCGTGAGATCGCAGAGGTCAGCCGACCTAATACGAAAGAGCCTCCCATCCTCATCGATTCGGATGGAACTGTATTTTAATCAAAGATTTTTAATATCGTGTCTTGTGTTACTCTTCTGTTGTTCGTTTTGATCATCTTGTCTTAGAGTTCATCACGACACAAAGCGAAAGTCGCTAGTTTTGGTAGATTGAGGATCATACCCCCTTTGTTAGTATTCGAAGCAAGAGAGCGCCCATTCAGAGAGTCGGTAAAGAAAAACATACTGCCTACCTATCCTAGGTTATTTGGGCCGTCCTGAGTAACGGAAGTAGGCGGTTAAGGGAAGAAACATATTATATTCGTTCCACGGATACGGACGGTACAGCAACAACAACACAACTTTGTTGATGCGATTATTGGTAATTCTCCACGCGTTTTGGTTTTTTTTTTGTCGCGGAACGATCACTAAAAGTTGGTCAACCTTTTTTCGATTAGGATAGGATAGTATTGCTGGAGAAACCTATATTAATCAACTGTACAAAATATAAATCTATTCCTGAGACGTAGAAATAATCATTATTAGGACTCCTATCAAGTTTTACGAGAAATATTCGTCGTGTTTGTTAATAGGATGCTGAAAAATAGATAGCTGGTAAGCACACGATTTGACTCCCCTTAAATAAAGTCTTAACTTGAACTATTTGGAGTTTGGTATTGCACATGGATGTACCTATATATACAATGCAATTACAGTTGCGGGTATTCCTCACCCTACACGTGTACGTAGCCCAGTGTCTTCCCAGTAGCGAACACCGCTATCTGGTTCAAGATCGACGCTTCGTCTATGCTATGATACAATCCCTACCGCCGCATCGCGTTCGTCAGTTGGTGACCGTGCTCTCATAACCCTCCCTTTCCGGCTTGTTTCCGACGTAGATCCTCCATCCTCCGGTACGCCTTTTCCTTTTCTTCCGCGGCCCTGCGCTCTTCGTACGCCTGGGCCTTCTTCCACTCCTCCTTCTGCTTATCGACGCCTAATAGGCCTTTGGCCGATTCGGTGATTCCCTTAGTAGCCCCACTTGCATTGTTGCTTGCGGATCTCTGGCTGGGGGGTGTTGGTGCTTGCCACGTCGGGGTAGCCACTGCGGCGGTCGAAATTAGTCCTCCACTCCGGTTTGGAAGAGGAGGAAGGCCGGCTAAGCGGCGGATGGTTGGGTTAAGAGTCGCCGACGTCTGCACGATGGATCCCGTGGTGAGCATTAGGAAGAACCACTGGACACCCGCGGGGAGCCAAGCCGTGCCGAGGAATACGACGGGAGGCAGACCGTACATCATTAGCTTGGTGATATTTTCGGTTGTCGGATCCTTTGATAAGTTGGCGGCCCTTGTTTGCTAACGATCTGTTAGTTATGAGTCTTAGCGAAGGGAGTTTGCAATAGGCTTACCTTGAACATAACAGCCGTGAGAGCTATAGAAGTTATGGGCAGAATGTAGTAAGGATCATAAACGGTCAGATCGGTGAACCAGGCGAAGCCTCCAGTCTCAAGACTAGGTACGGGCAGGGCGGCCATGCCTCGGAGCAGTCGAAACATGCCAAAACTAAATGGGACGGTCCAAAATGTAGCGAACATACGAAGTGTGCTAGCACCCGTCTCCTTTTTTAACCTCATCATCTTTTCCGAAGCTCGCATTTGAGCAACGCGGTCGCGAGTTTTCCATGCGGCCTCGTTAAATTCTTCCTTAGCTTTGGCGTATACCGGATTCCTTTCGAGTTGTTGTATCAACGCGCTATGCTTGCTAGCTGTCAAAGTAGGCCAGAACATGGCGAGACGCCATACGGCAGCCACCGCGGCGATGGTAGCCCACCATGGCATGCCTGTGTATATGTACAGATGTTCGAGAACCCATTCGCAACAGGAAGTTGGACCCCATCCGAAATCTAATCCGAGATTCTTGAGATATCCTATCTGCTCGGGGATATCGAGGACGGAAGTCAGGTCCAAGTCGCTGAAGGCGCTCTGTGTGTGATCTATCGGAGCGGAAGTCGAAGTTGTACTTGCGAAAGAGTTCTCGGGGAGGGGTTCATAATTCTCGACAGGCGCCGGGGGCTCTGATAATATAGGCTCTGGGGTAGAAGCGGGTTGCGTTTCGATTGGCGACTCTTTCTTAGAAGAGAAGGGCCATAATGAAAGATTTCGCGAAGCTCCAGAGCGCTGGGCGAATACGCCGGATGCGGTACCTGCGACAATTGTTCGAGAGTCGAATAAAGATGTCGGCGCACACGAAATATTCCGAATTTTACTCAACGGCGTAGACCGCGACTGTACCTGGGAGAAATATCGTATAGGAACTTGTAAAGGTCGAATCGGCTATAAGACGACGAAGAATGATATGTTAGCGATTCATAAGATATTGATTTATTAAATATTAAATGTTGTCATACCTGTGTCCGAGTAGACCAGGTATTCCGCAGCGCAGAGGCTGGAATTGATCTTGGAAGTCCTCTACTCGGCAGCATGACGATAATTGTGAGCGCTGTAGAAGCTGAGGCCGACCATTTACGATATAAATTCCATTGGAATTTTTTACTTGTACCAGAACTTCGATACTGGGGCTCGCTGGGGTTACTTTCCTTATCGATACGGGGTGTAGTGGGATTCCCGGAGCTTAGGTACGTATTGCCCGGATTGTCTATCCCGCTATATCGATCTTTTTTCCGCCGACTCCAACTCCGATTTGATTACGTATCTCAGCTTTTATTATCAGCTAACATGATATATGCTGTGGTTTCTTGGTGTTGATGTCTCTACGTAGGTAGCTATGTCTAAGTAGTGTTTATGAAAGGCGCAATTTCTATAAACATATCACATAGCAGAGATATTAATTTCCTTGATTATTTTATACTTAATGCTCATCAGTTACCAATTCTATTGTTGAATATTCAAATAGGCATTAGCACTAGCATACCTGTCTCAAGACACTGGATTCTAGACTATCCTATTCAGAGCTTTGTGCAATTATTTCTTCCAAAAAAAGGGTTTATACATGAGTGATATATTATGATACCTTTCGTTTTCCCCTTTGCCATTCACCCTACCATTCACCCATCCCTTCTAATCTTGCATATGACAATACATAAGCTCAGGTGGCATATTCCACCATTTAGCTTTACCCGTGTATACATGATAGACTATTCCGTCCGTCATTCGAGGCTAGTCAGGTCTTGTAGATCGGGTCGCGGTTTAGGTCGGTTGCGGATTTCGATACCTGGACCGATAGCATGTGCTCTCCGCCGGGAGAGAGGGAAGACCTATACAACACAGTTAATATTTGTGTAGCCAAACAGTTACATGTTACATATGGCTTGTCATTATACAGAGTTACTTACTCTTGTGCCTCCCCATCCTAACCTGAAAGCAGCCTCATGCGCAAACAGCTCGCCAAATCCTAGCATCATACCGTTGATAAATGGTAATAGTAGGTTAATAGCTACACCTCGGAACATAGACCAGATGGTGGGAGGCTTATAGAGGACTACCGGTGGAGAGGAAGATGAAGGTGGCGAGGGTAGTAGGTCTTCTCCGGCTGAGTATTGTTCGCTGTCGGAGTGCATCGTGACGCCTGACCCTGAGAGGGGATCCGGTTCTTCGGAGGACATGGCTGAAATGTTAAAGAGAAGATGATGCCGGTATAATAATCCACCTTAACTCTAAGGTATCATGTCGCTTGTTGTCGTATTTGTTAACAAGATCGGATAGAGATACCTCAGCTGCCTAGGAACTTCAAAGTTGAAATGGTTGGAGAGGACTCAACATTGAGACCGGGCATTAACATTAATGTTATGTTAATATCGGTAGCTAGAAATGTTGTTACAGATTTAAGCCTATCAGAGTAAAGAACTAATACAAATTCTGCCTAGATAGGCTAGTTACGTCACAATAGGGATCCACCTAAGTCGGTCTGATTGGAAAACTGACACACAGCTGGTAGGTACCGAACCAGGGCAGCTGTTCGTCATTTTATTGATAGAGGGGCTTTAGCTAATCGGGCAAACATTACCTAGCAATAATGGAAGGCGTACACCCCGCTACTCCCCACGTAAGTACCTGAAGTAATCAACTCAACTCGACTTGATTAGGCTACTGTGGAGAGCTTGACGTCGTTACTGAAGCTGCCTAAGAATTTAACAGTTTAGGGGACGTACCTTCTAAACAGCAAACGTCACATTAAACATTTGATTTTTTTTATTCTTATTCTTTACTTGATTATTCCTCAAGGTTACAGAAGTTGAGGCTCTTATCATCTACAACCTATTTTTCATTCTTCACGTTTCGTTCCCCCACCTTCTCTGAACACAATGTCGAGCAGCATAGATCACGATGCTCTTACGAGCGAGCTCATGGCCATGGCCGGAATTTCCACCGAACAGGTATATGACCCGATTCTAAGTAGCTAATAGCTAGCTTCATCTTTCATCGTTTCGCTTTAACTAACATTGTCACTTTTCCATCTAGGCCACCCAATACCTTTCTGCCAACAATTGGGATCTCGCCGCCGCAGCTCAAGCATACTTCGCCGACGAGGAAGAAGATGACGCAGGTGCTCCTCTTGATACTTCTACCTCTGCAGACTATAGCAATTATACTGGTCCGCGCACTCTCGATGGACGTCCTGCCCCGCAGTCTATTCCTACCACGTCCAGCTCCTCCAAGCGAGCGCCCAAGAAGAAAGGACTTGCTACATTAAGCTCAATCGGTGGCGGCCACGGACATGATCATGGTGATGATGACGACGACGATGAAGACGATGACTCGCATAGGGACACATATGCTGGAGGCGAGAAGAGTGGACTTGCTATTCAAGACCCGAATCAACGTACAGATAGTAGACAACTCGTGAACGATCTTCTTGCGGAGGCTGCTGGGTAATTATGTTCGCTTCTTGATTCATCTAGCGATGGGCTAACCATTTTTATAGCAATTCGCAGCGTCCCGAGGCTTCTTCTCAAGCTGGCCCTTCCAGCGCGGCTTCTTTCCGCGGCGCCGGACAAACTCTCGGTGGCGAAGGCGCTCCTAGCCGCACGATTCCAGACCCTCTCGGAGCTGCCGGTTCTGCTAGTCGTGCGCGTCCTACGGGCAAGGTTCAAGAGCGAACATTACATCTATGGCGTGATGGTTTCAGCGTCGACGACGGAGAGCTACGCCGTTTTGATGATCCCGAGAACACCGATGCTTTGCGCATGATACAGCAAGGCCGTGCTCCCATCCACCTGATGAACGTTAGGCTTGACGAGCCTCTAGACGTCAAGCTTCAGCAGCACGACGAGAACTACCGACAACTTCCTAAAGTGTATAAGCCGTTTGGTGGTGAGGGTCGCCGCTTAGGAAGCCCAGTTCCGGGAGAATCTGCCGCTGCTGCTGCGGCTGCCGCTGTACCCTCCTCGTCGACCTCGAGCACACCAGCAGCAGCACAATTGGCGGCGCCGAGTACGGCTGTAGACGACTCTCAGCCCACGGTCATGATCCGAATCCAGATGCCTGACGGTACGCGACTGCCGGCTCGATTCAACACGTCGCATACGGTCAACGACGTATATGACTTCATCTCCCGATCCTCCCCAGAATTACGAGCTGGTGGATGGGTGTTAGCTACGACGTTCCCCAACAAAGACCACACGGATAAGTCATTAGTACTAGGCGATATGGCCGAGTTCAAGAAGGGCGGTACTGCTATGGTGAAGAAGAACAAATGAGCACAAACGCAAGGTTAGGACTGGATGAGCTTGGTGCTTGTTAAATAATAGAGCTATAGTTGCTAAATGAGTTGTCCTGATACCTTTTAATCGGATACAAAGCAATTACGCATAGATATTAAGAGAATATTGTCTCTTCTTGCGATAATTTAAGGAATGGTTTGATCGCGAGTCACAATAAATTATCTTTGTTTTATTATTTTCTCTTCGTTGATGTTAACTGTAGGCTTTGGAATGAAGACAAGCCACCAGTCTTCCTAAGCTCTAGCTCCACTAAACACCTTCAACTCCGGCATCCCACATATCGTAAGACTATTTAACAAGTTCCCAACATATCACTCAAGGCCGATTTCTCAGCCGAAGTGATAGTCAAGTCCCAATAACTCTTGACAGCTACGTAGGCGCTCGCATAAGTGCAATAGAAGCTCTTTAGAGGCGGCTTCCAGGTGTCAGGGGATTTATCACCCTTAGACGAGTTAACATTGTCCGTTACGGCCCAGAGCTGCGGTCGGTCAACATCGTTGGCGAATTGCTCGCGCTTGGCAGTTGTCCATTTATTCGCACCGGACTGTATAGAGTTAGTTAAACGGTGAATCAAGCGCCACGGAACAATAGGTGAAATATATAAAATACGTACAATCCAAGCATTCTTCAAAGGCACCATGTGATCGATATCTACATCGGTCGGGGACGTCCACTTCCCGCCATCGTAGGGGCTGGTCCATGTGCCACTCGTCGGATAGCAGTCGGAGCCGACCTGGACGCTGGCACCATCGCGCTTGAGTACGTACTCGCGCGTGTTGCAGGTTCCCGTGATAGTGTCCCACGTCGGGAACAAATCCCGCTTGTATGCTCCGTCGTCGACTGCCGCCTTGACCGTCAAGCTTGCGAGCTGCGATTTAGCTGACGAGGCGGATGGGACGCCAGGCTATATTACATCAGTCAGTTTTGAAAGATTTGTTGTTGTACTTGTGGATAGGTACGGAAGGGTTATTACTAACGGGGGTGGGCATAGGCATAGGAACGGGCTCGGCAACCGGAATTGGCGCCGGCGCGGCGAGCACGACACTCGCGGACAGGAGGCCGCCGAGAGTGAATGAGAACCTCATGATGAAGATGTTGAGGTTGGACAGTTTCGTTATGTTCCGAGTCAGGCGACACTACCAGATGGATAGACACGAATATAGTGGGTTACCTAGTAACACCTCACTAACTATCCGAGGTCTTACATGGACGATGGTTCTTAAGAGTCTGTGACCAGTTTATATAGACATCCCGCCGATCTCTCCTGCTCGTATGTATTAATATCCCGTGTTATACATGGCCAACCACAATCGCCAACTTCCCGAAGCGAACTACACTTAAACCAATTAGCGTAGATAACCAAGCAGGTCTCAAGGAACCGGACTTTCATAGGAGAATGATAGCACGGAGAGCGGCAAGCAACAGCGGGGCGGGATACCCCGAAAGCATATCAGAGACATGCCAATTGTTGCGTTACATAGTGCGAAGCTGAATCTGACCTGCCGTATTGAACAAGTCGATGGTGGTATTAAAGTTGTGCTGAGATCTGGACGGGGCGACGATCTTCAGCAGCTAACCTAGGTTTTGGTTTTACGTGGGAAATATGGGAAGCATGTGAATTCGTCTTCATTCTAAGGTAAAACCGGACTTTACGGGTTCAAGATAGACTCAGTATTAAACCCCTCAGTGACGATAAACAGGGTAAGCTTCGATAAACAAGACTATCACGTCTTTAGATTCCCATGTACCTAATTCAAAATCGATCTACGTCCGTGGGTATCAGCTACCCTTTCATCAAAATCGTGCATGGCATACCACATAATCGACGCTTTAATTGGTTGGCTTGCTGCGACGACTAACCTTCCTAATTCAGGACGTCTGCCGATCGTCAGGGACCAGACCGCCGCGTCTAAGACTACTACCTCTCCCGGAGTCGGCCTCGAGGCCAATAAAAGCATCGCAACTGATAAACGTGTCTTAACTATATGAGATATGCGACTATCACAGTTCTCACCAAGAAAAACATCGCTCATAATAGCTTATACTAAGGGTAGCGCCATATTGAGGCATCATACCCCGAATTTGGTAAATGTCCCGCGATCGAAGAATGCAGCGGGGTTTTGACATTAGACTTATCGGCAATTTTATATCAGTGGAATATTGTAGACTAAGGTTCCCCGTCGTTAAGGTCGTTTGTGTCCAGATAACTTCCCGGCTCATTGTATGCGATCAGACAGGAGTACTCGGTTTGGGGTTTACAGTACTATAGTGGAAGCTAATCAGTTCCTATTGCTTATAATGATATGTCGAAATGCATGGCGGAGACGTGAGGAGCAAATACAAAGGGTACTCGAAGTTGAATAACTCAGAAGGTATGTACGGCTTCGCTCGTCTAGCTCGGGCTATTAATTAAAGGTCTGGCCTGGAGTCACAGGTCCATCTAGGAACTTGAAGCTCTCCCTGGCAATTTGACAATTCAGCTTGGCGGAATTGAACCTCGCCTCTCCGGGCGGGAGAATAACCATAAGGTAGGTATTGGTGGTGAATTTACAAGCGAACATGGAGAATCTAGATCCCGCTTTGTGTTCCTACAGTTATTTCGTTAGCGATTAGCTAGTATTCTTATCACTTCAAGCCGACACCGAGCTACTCGAGCGGAAGTGTATAACTGGACATGCAACTACTTACCATCAGGGTAAACTGCTCGGCATTGCGAGGAGTACCGGTAAAGCGACTGATGCTTTGCTTGAAATGCTTAAGGATGTTCGAGATACGCTCTTGACGATCTCCCGTAGGGTTATTCTGGCCTTCTTCCGACGTCCAGTTTGATACAACAAGGAAACTCGTTCTCTCGAATAATAGCAACTCCTCGGCTTCTATTAAAACTCCGAGAGAGCCTAACTGAGACTCGATGACGGATAGATTTGGCACCAGGTCGTGGATGATGCTTGCCCATGCCTTGTATAGCGACTGGTCCCATATAGAGGTCGCGAAGGGGATGAGATCTAACTCGCCCGTGTATCCTGCTCCTTGAATGAACTCAGCGGTCTTCTGTCTTACTAGCCGAACACGGTCGACGAAAACAGCCTCTCGGGCGTGCGGGGTGATCAAATCCATCTTGTGAATTAGCACGTAGACCTTTGCGGTAGGCGAATACTGAGTTAAGGCGGAGATGATGGATACGTAGGTAGCCATGTCTCGGTCTACATCTCGAGACTCTATATCGAAGACGTATATAAGCACGCCAACATTAGAGAAGACATGTACGCGCTGCTGAGATAGGTAGTTCTCCATAAAAGCTTCTTGGCCACCGCAATCCCAAAGGTTCAAGGTCAAGTTCCCTAAGAATTTGACGTGAGAGAGGTCGACATCGATCGTCGCACCGCTGATATGATACGCAAATTAATTTCTTATAATTAAATGATAAGGAAAGTAGGGTTGTAACTTACAGACGTCGAGTATCCCTGGCAATATAGTTGCTAAATATAATACTCCTCATACTCGACTTTCCAGAACCACTCTTTCCCATAAGGAGCACCTTTTTCTTCTTGGGTTTCTTTAACTCGCTTCGGATGTCAGTAGACATTCCCAAGCTAGGGACAGATGCCTCGAGGTCTGTCATATTGTTTTGTTCTCGATAAAAGTTATGGGCTAGCTCTTATCTCGTAATATCAAGCAAGGTATCTCGAAGGGTCGCAGTGGTCTGGACGAGACGTTGAAGTTTAGTTCAAGTCGGATCACGCATTTCTCTATTTTTAGGAATAGAAGAAATAGTAGTCCGTAAGAAGACTTGTTGAAATTACGGTAAGTAACCACTATCACTTCATATCCTTGTGTTGCAGCTCATATAATTTATTACCCTCATGTGATGTTCTAAAGTTGATGAATGTCGATTAATGTCGGTGGTGGGGTTCTGCTCTGCTTAGTGGAAGCTTTGGGTAAGGATCTCCTCGACCGTTTAAATGCATGAATAAAATTGATATTTGCATATACTGACGTCACGTGCACCAATGGTTGCACAGATAACATCATTTATGCAATTAAATGCAGTATAACAAATATTTTAATTTTGGCGTCAGTTTCAACTTTAAATCTTCAGGCTATGCTATCCCTTATCATATACAACCAAAATACAATTCTCATCATGATACCCTTTTAAAATAAAAGACACTAATATGGTTCAATCCATGTGATAGACGCCTTGCTGAACCCTACGAAGCTGACTAACAAAACAGGTTATCAATATGATGAATCAATACGCGTTGCAACTTCTAGTCTTTATTCCTCTTATTCTACCATTCTATCGTCTACTTATACTCAACTCGCCGTTTAATACATCAATCAAGAGTTAATAAGCACAGGTAGTCATTCAATACTTTCGACATAATCTTGTACCGTATTCGATAACCTCCCAGTCCTCTGTTCCCGGGGTTGATACGGCGTACAAGACACCGTGAGGATCCCACTTCTTGCGAGTTTCCAGCAATTTTGGATATTCCGAGCCCCAGAAGTGATCTTGCCAATCAGGTTGATACGGGTCTCCCTATGAAGGTTATTAGTATCATCATAGTATTATAGTATTACACCCATCGGGTGCATACGTACCTCGTTAACATAGGCACATCCATTCGGCCCAGCTTTCCTCAATGCGGCATCTTGGATGTTAGTTAGTACATCATGAAGATCCTCTTTCTGGGCCCAAGTTGCACCATCTGGGACTGATAGCCCGGCGATGGTAAAATCTGTAGACTTTCTAAACCGCGGGTTCGTTGCGCTGTTTGAAACCGGCGTATTCAGACCAGCATCCCAGAGGTGGCCAATGATAAATCCCCGCTCTTTCAAGTCATCCCGTGGCGACATGACAGTCTTAAACGCTTCGATAATTTCGTCATTATTTTCTTCGACGTCCTGGTGGGTGAACATCCATCCGCCCGTAAGATCCGCAGTGCCGGCGGTCTCGTCTTCGAATAAGTCAGTATACAGATCGAACAATGTATCAAAATCCTTGCTGCCTGTGTCGTATGGAATGCCCTTAGCTTTGAATTCGTCAAACACAGGCTGGAGGATGGCCTTCACTTCCGCTGAAGTCTTCCCGACTCCGACAATAGGTTGTATATGCAAGCGCAATGGCATAAGTTCGAAATAAGCGTAAAGACCAGCCGCCACGATTTCGTTTGAGTACTTGTGGAACGACTTGACGCCCTCCCAAAATACATCTGCGTCGTTGGTGAGCGTTGAGTTGATATTGATGAAGACGCCGGCTGCCTTCTGTTCCGGGAACGTCTTAAGGGTCACCGAAAGTACAATAGCAAAGGTAGACGGTCCACCTCCTTTTAAGGCCCAGAAGAGATCGGGATTCTCTTCGGAATTTGCAGTCAGATATTTGCCATCCGTTGTCAACACGTCAAAGGTCAATGCTGTATCAGCGACCAGTCCATACAGTGGCGTAAGCGGACCATGGCCGCCGCCTTGGACAAGTCCACCAGCGACGCCAACAGTCTATCAGCTCGTTAGCTTGTATCTCTTGTCTCGTAAGCTATCTACTTACTGGGCATTCTCCTGTTAAAGCCGCCACGGGTGGATTCTGAGCGTGAGCTTGAGTAAGCAGCGCTCGACCTTGGACTCCCGCCCCTATTGTTACGGCACCTCCCTTGTAATCACCAGGACCGCTATACTCGGTGGTGAACTCGACGTCTTGGAAGCTATGCGTATTAATGATCAACGCTCCCCAGCCAGTGCTACGTCCGATAAAGTCGTGACCCGTGTTTCGAATGATTAGGCGCAAGTTGTTTTCCCTAGCAAAATCCACGCCGGCCTTGATATGATCTTTAGATTGAGCCATTATCACATACACTCCATAGTAGCCAAGGGTGCAAGGTGCGGCAGGGTCACTAGTAGGACGACAAGTATCATTCGTGAAATATGTCCATAGTTCTGCTGCTGGTTTCTCGACGCTATGCCGCCATGTCAGTATATCGTCTTAGACTCGACTAGAAAACTTACCCCCATGATTCATCAGACCATTTATCTATCGCCTCCGCGCAAGCAGCAGCGTCATATGTCGGAATCGTACCAAGAGGGCCATCAAATGTCTTATAGGGTTTAAGTCAGTATGGTTCCTCTCGCTGGCTACTTGAAAATCCCCGAGCTTACGTTTAGGGTCACTTACGTTATGACAAGATGCACCCGGAGGAATGTTCACCAGGAGAGTTCCATCCACCGTTGAATTCAGTTTGGCCCAAGAGTCCTCGCTCGGCCAGCAATCATCACCTATATAGCACTTACAACCATACTTGGTGTTGTTCCATGTCCTCTCAACAAGTAGTGGTGGTGATGATGATGATGACACAACATCACCACCGATCAGTGCCGAGAAGTTCACTGCTAAGAATGGTAAGAACCAAGTCATCATGAGACTTAGGGATAGCGAAGTTTAAGACGAAAGAACAACCTCTCAGTGTTTTATCTGGGCTCTGTTATCCATTTAAAGATGCGGCATCTTAGCAGTCAGTTGTTAATACCCCAGATTTGGGGTATTATCAGCATGACCCAGAAGGGAATCTGCAAGATCCGGTCATATTTCCCAGTCCGTCACCACCCTGTTTGAGCAGCGATGCGTCTAAGCTGTATCTTCCAATCAGAAACAATATATTTATTTTCTCCTCTACCAGGACACCGGTATGTGACTTCAAGCACATGTTTAGGTAGAGAATGCACTATGTAATACATGCATTGCCGTGATCTAAATAGGTTAGCCAACCAGTGGCTCAGATGTTCTCGCCTTGGCAAAGATCTGGGGAAGTTTTAGACTGACGCTAGATCAAAGTGCAACCAAAACCCCTCACGAAACTAGGAGATCGTCAGTTTACTTGCTGTCTTGAATAACGCTATGAAGTAGTAGGGCTTAAGAGTCCGGCATTACTCTCGAAGATAAGAAATGCCCTTTTCTATTAGACTTGGTCTCTTGGACCTCGCTCCAGCGGCTATGATTGATGATTACGTACCATTGATTTGAATACCGAAGCTCCATACCTATCTCTAAAGCGTAGTTCTTTAGTAAGGAAGATTCGGGTTTGCTTCTAACCTATATGATTCATAGTAAAGTATTCTGGACGGTCCAATGAACCCCCTCATTTTGCTGCGGGGTCCGCGGCATCCTCATACGAAATCACGGCATCGCATTCTCTCAGTAGAATTGAGAGCTAGATTATTATTCATGTAGCTAAAAGGCGATCAGACAAATATAAGGTTAAGGATTGGTAAATCACCCCCTGCTGTTTATTGTCTCGTAGTATGTCTTGTTTAAACCTGGTGTTAGAAATCAAGCACCCATTATCAATAAGTCTCACATCGTACGAGTCGTATGGTTGCGCCTTGGTATCGTACCGAATACGAAATAGTTGCAGTTAGTTCCTATAAACGACAATAGGCTAGCAATGTGTATATCTCAGAATCTAGGTTATATTGTGTAAGTATGCCTTGTTGAATCGGACTTGGTCTATGCCGATAGCAGATGCATAACAATGCATAGAAGCGTCCTGCTGGTGAGTCATATTCAAGACCTTACACTCAATCGGGTTCAATCGCAATATACCAATAAGTCTTATCCGTATAATTTACCAATAGCTGTTAAGAATCAATATTATGCGATAGCTTTAAGATATCAATCATAACACATTAACGGCTGAAGGATTTGGTGACAACAAGTCAAGCCTATCTAAGAGTAAATCAAGCCTATCTAACCGAATATTGTTAACTCTTCTCTCCCGCCAACCCCATTTTCATCCTACCGACTTAATCATTATAGTAACGCAGTATTAATACCGGGGTGACATACCTCACTTCTCAAATCCGAAATGTCGTACAAAATACGAGATGCAACTCGTTCAGACATCCCATCCCTCGTAGACGTCTATTTCGATGCATTCGGTGACCACCCTGTCACCCAAAAGGTCTTCAGATCAAGCCCAGAACATGTGCGAAAATTTTGGTTAGATCCGCTAGAATCTGGTCTGCAAAAATCAACCGAGCATTTCTTAGTTTTGACCGACCCAAATTCTACGACACCGGAAAGGATCATCGCATTTGGAATATGGCAGGAACTCTTCACGACGGCATCCCCCCCTCCGCCACCGGCAGCCGCTAGCTGGCCAGAAGATGCAGACCCATTCTGTATCGAAGAATTCTTCGGGACCATAGAGAAAAAGCACAAAGAGATCATGGAGAGCCGTCCGCATTGGTATCTAAATATTCTAGGTGTTCGAGAGGATTCTCGGGGGAAAGGTGCGGGTAAGCATCTGCTGAGATGGGGCATAGCTAGAGCCGACGACGTAGGTCTCGAAGCTTTTCTTGCAGCCAGTCCAGCTGGAGCTCCTCTTTGGTACGTACGAAACCATCCCGTGTTTATTTTGAAACTTCCTTTCTAGAGTAGTCTCAAAATTGCCTTCGTAGAGTATACAGTGGCTAACGTTTAGTAGTAAGTGTAACGACCATATCATTCGACTCAATCGAAAGATAATGGTGAGGATTCTAGAGTTGTAGGGTTAAAAAGCTGACACGAAATGTTTTCATACCTTAGATGCGAAGCATGGGTTTGACCTAATAGATACGATCCCTCTCGACAATGGAAATCGTCTTGAAAGTTTTATGATGAGGCCGGCGAAGAAGGTACAAGTCGAGAATAAACTGTCGACATGATAGATATTATGTTGACAATGACTATGTGGGACTATAAGCGTACTATAATAAGAGTTGATAGTATTAAAATTATCCAGCTATGATACATGTTCATATCCCAGTTCCATCCATTCATCCATCATCTTGGTTTAGCTTGGTCTTATTTAAGGGTTGTGTGTTATTAACGGGACTGATTTAAATAATACAAATTAAATTATTAAGAATTATCATTAGCATCACACATAAATATATGCTGATGGTATACTTAGTATGTTTAACGCTCAAATCAATCCTTAAATGCTACATCGTTATACATCATTACCCTAACCGGGCAATAAACACAAGATGTACCTACCCGAGGTACTTACCATCTTCATAGCTCAAGCAACGATTTTCTCCTCATTAGAATCGTCATAGCTATAAGACGATCCGAGCTGGTTCTTCATAACCGTATGAAGGTGCTCAAACACGAAATCTGGGAGTTCATCCAAGCCGCCTACCCACCTCATATCGACTAACGGGCTGCCCTCCATCTTGAGCTGGGTATAAACCCTCTCGGAAAGATCAACCTCTTCATCATGCTCCAGGCCATGGGTAAACCTAGCAACCATCGAAATAATCGAGAGGCGACACGCTATGTTATCGGCATCGTATCCTCTCACATCTTCCCGAGCGTCTTCCCTCCCCGCGAGCTGTTCAATATTATCCGGAAGCTGATATATCACCTGGCCTTGGCGATGAGGCGCTGTCTTACATTGCGAGCATCTTCCGGATCGAGTTCGCTTTACAGCTGGCTTTCGTAACGCCAGGAACCTGCGCAGCAAGGTCTTATGTCTCGCGAGTTTGATGGTGCATGGGCATGGTGACGTACAGGAATCCATTGTCTGAATTGGCTTATACCAATAAGCGACTTCCGGAAGAGAGCTGCGAACAGCACGGTTGTTCAAAACGAAGATGGCTTAACTAGAATAATATCAAGTAAAGGACTTTTAGGTCAGGTGGCTGCTTGATGAAGAAAGACAGGACGATCAAACCCGGGGTCTTCATGTGGCTTATATATGGGATCTTCGGGAGATCGTATAGGGGGCTTGTTTCCTGTTGTTTCTACCCCCTCGTTCTCGTATAATGCCTTTGTCAACCATCAGTTTGCTTACCTACAACAAAGATCTTGTGATAACACTTACTGTCTGCTTAGTATTTAGTCTCTTTTAGGTCTTGTGTAGTTAAGACTTTGAATTATATTGCTTGATTTTGTAAGCTATTGATATAAGACCCTATTATGCGCTGGCAAACATCATTGAGAAGGTGTGCGTATGTCTTGTATCCTACAACAATGTTATTGTCAACGATGTCGCTATGTGGGTTCGGAATGGTCTCCTAAGATACCAGAAACAGATCTCCTAGGCAACAAGGTACAGCTGCCAAAGTACATCTTAGGAAACAAGACTTATATATCTAAATTAACTGCAAACCCTCAGCCGACCCCGCAAAAAGGAAGTATCCCTGGGTGACTGGAGGCTAGAGAAAACTGCACCGTGGTGTCATATGCTGGACCGGTATGCCCGTGACTTGACAGTACGACATTTACAAAGTAGTTTTTCGTAGGTTCTGTGTTCAACACACAGGCCGAGCTTTTTTTTTTTTTTTTTTTTCACTTTCTGTCGTTGCATCTGGCATACCTGCTGCATTTAACTGTCGTTGCATGAATAGGGGCTATGCATATTATCAACATTACTTATAATTCGCAAATCAAACTTGCTCTACTTACACTGCACCCTCTCTTGTCCACATATCATACTCCTCACTCATGATACGGGTTGCATGGTAATACCTCGAACATTGAGTACGAACTGTATACTACCTACTAAAGGGCCTTGAATTAGGTAGAGTCAAGCCAGGAGTGGTATATAAATATTATTAACTACATAGGTACTTGAGTGATTCAGCACAGCATAAGGACATACTAGGTGGTAATAGGGCAATCCTAACATAAAACCAACCCCTAGCCAACCAAGGCCGATAATTATGTCTAGTAGTGAGGCTCATTACTACCGTATATGACTGACGTGAGCGTACTTGGATTTGAATATCAACAATTACTCTTCCTAGCTCTAGATACTTGACAAGACCTATTCACCACTTATGATCATCTTAAGGACACGGGTGAGACCCAGGTTGGAATAGAACACAGGGAACAACTCAGGTAGATTCATCATGTCAAATATAATTGAGATTAAATAAATACTGACTGCCAACGTAAACTGGTATCTATTCAGTCTCTACGGCAATGCAATGACGCTATGTATGTGCGGGTAGTATTTTGAACACAATTCCTAACCATTTGCCCTCCAGGGAAGAAAGTACAGACAGAGACCGAATACTCTGAAGATCAAATGCCGTTAATCCGTCATAGGAAATCTCGTGAAAATCACAAAGTCAGAATCGTCCTAGTAGTATGTATAACCCGTCGAATAGAAACAAAATCTGCAGAAGAGACAGCAAAAGCAGCACCGCGACGCATGAGCAAGCATCTTGGTTATCTGCCACGTGGGTATAAAACTGCATCTCCAGCAAGATTCCTGACAGCAAGAAAATTGTTATAGGTCAAGTTAGACCAAATTTGTTAGACCCGGGAGGAAAGCGGTGAGCCGTCCCCGTCCGGAAATGCCAAGGTCCGAATCCTAATGCCAGTTAGCCGAATTTTAGGCCTTGGCTCTTCGTCTCGTCCCTCGGTGT